ATAAAGAAAACAATAACAAAAGGCCACACAACCAGAATACAAACCAAAAAAAAAATCAAGCAAAAAATAATTAGGCAAAATGTTCAGCGCTTAATGGGCAACAAACAAACAAACAAAATAAAACAAAATGTTTTAAGTAAGTTGGGGGGATATTTTCTAAATCAAAGAAAACCAACAAAATATTATATTCTAAAATCAAAATACAAATATTACAAAATAAAATAAAGTGCTATATTAAAGGTTGTGTTTATATTTTCTAAGTCAGGGAAATCAAACAAAATATTATATTCCAAAATCAAAATAATTATAAACCAAAATAAAACAAAATGTTTTAAGTAGAGTGTTTTTATGTTTTTAAAATCAGGGAATTCCAAAGAAACAATATAATCAAAATCAAAAGAAATATAAATTCCAAATTAAACAAAATGTTAGAAGGTATGGTGATTTTATGATTTTAAAATCAATAAAATCCAACAAAATATTATATTCAAAAATATAAATAAAATATATATCAAAATAAAACAAAATGCTATAGGTGTGCTGGGTTGCTATTTTTTAAATCAGGGAAATCCAACAAAATATTATATTCTAAAATCAATGAAAATATATTCCAAAATAAAACAAAAGGTTATAAGAAAGGTGGGTTGATATTTTTTAAATCAGCGAAATCGAACAACATATTTCATTCTAAAGTCAAAACAAACACATATAAATTAAAATAAAACAAAACGTTATAATTATGGTGAATTTATTATTTTAAAATCAGGGAAATCCAACAAAATAATATATTCCAAAACCAAAATAAATATAAGCCAAAATAAATCAAAATGCTATAAGTTGAATGAGTTGATATATTTTTAATCAGGGAAATCCAACAAAGAATTATATTCCATTCTCAAAATAAATATCTAACAAAATAAAACATAAATCAATATTCCATTATCAAAATAAAATATATTCCAAAACAAAATAAAATGCTATAAGTATGATGACTTCATATATTTTTAATCAGGGAAATCCAACAAAAAATTATATTCCATTCTCAAAATAAACATATAACAAATAAAACAAAATGCTATAAGTAGGATGAGTTGTTATATTTTTAATCAGGAAAATCCAACAAAGAATATTATACCATTCTCAAAATAAATATATAAGCCAAGTTCACTGACCTTCTTCTCCCGGCTTAATCAAATCTGAACCTATAAATTGAACTTAATGAAATCCAAGCCACAATTTAACCCACTGTCCCCCATCTTCTGCTTACTCAGTTCAGCTGGAATTGCAATTTTCACGTTTATTACGTTTCTGTTGACGATTTGCATTTCTTATCAGTTAATTGCCACAATACTGCAAGCGATTCCAATATTTTCACCGGAAAAGCAGCAAAAACAACACAAGTAGATGAACAAAAAAAGCACCTAACAATTAAAACAAAAAAAAGAAAATACAAATAAATATAAAAACAATACATCAGAGGCCACCGGCCAACAAGTCGAAAACAATTTTACAGTTTCTTCTTTCTTTTTTTTTTTTGTTTATTCATAGGCGATAATTAAAATATTGAATGCATGAATCATGGGTGGCAAAGCGAATTTTACAGCGGTATTGGGTGGCAATTCGAGGGGGTGGCATCAAGTGCTCTCGATTGTTGTTATTGTTCGCTCGGCGGCCATCAATCAGAGTTGTCAATCAGCGAGGAGCAGCGGAATATATGCTATTCGGTATATGGAATACACATTGCCTTGGAATCGGCTAAATCGTGGCAGCAGAAGCCTCCGATGAGCAGAAATCCCCCGCACACACTCTAAACATCGCGTGGCCCACTAGGCGTATACGTAATGGCCATTTATCCCATTTAAACTGTGAGTGAAATGCCGAAATGGCTTTGTAATATACGGCAAATTGTGTATAAATAAGACAATCTGCAGGAAAACTTTGCGGAAGATGGATGGGGCGGATTATGCCAAGGCTTTAAACTGGCAAAAAACATTTACAAATTTTCTAAGAAAAATCAGACTAAGGTAAAAATGGATTTGAAGATCTGCTAACATAAATTAAGACAAAAGGAAGCATAGCATAAATTTATCAAATTTATAGAAAGTACAATTTATTAAAGAAAATTAAGGAACCGAACTTATGGCAACAGGAAGGGATCAGAAAATGGGTTATGGTAAATCCTAAACCACTGAAACTTTAAAATATGTATAGAAAAATTATTTAAAATTAAAGATGAATCATAAAAATACTGATATCAAAACAATAGGTAAGTCCTAAACCACTGAAACTGTAAAATATGTATACAAAAATTATTTAAAATTAATTATTAAATAAATAAATAAGTTATATTGGTTTTAAGATGAGTCATAAAAATACTGACAATATGCTTATTGTTAATAGTTTGTTTAGCCAACTTTACAAAAGCCCTAGTTTCTATAGAACAAAACCTCAGCGAGACAATCGAGTTGTTCGGAACACTTTTTCATTCAACTATTAAGAAAACTATTTAGAGATCACAATGCCAAAGTCTAACAACTTGGGGAGCTCAGAAAAAGTGCCAAGCCCAAGACTAGCATTAATTTCCGTGCTGCTAGTGGGGTGAATAAACCAATTTAGTGCATCACTACTCCAGAAACCATCACTCTCTCCCCGATCTCGATTTCGATCACGATTACTATATAGTATGGCCTGGTGATGATGACGATAATGATGATGACTCTTCAAAACCTTCTGGTTAAGCAGGCTCGCCAAAGTGGCTGATTTATATGGCTCATTTTATTAAGCGGACAACGAATAAATCGCTTTGTAAATTGATGATTATTTTTTGTGTGTGTAAAAGGCGAGGGATGATATCATCGGAACGGAGATATTCTGGGCTTAGCTTAACCTAAGGTCGGTAAATATACATATATGAAATATGTGTGTGCAGCGGTGTATATATGGAAAGCGAGGCCCTTAATCCACCACTTTTGCTTTCGCCCACTGATAAACACTCTTCGAAACTCGAATATTTTCCAAAACACGACTTGAAACGCCCACTTGGCAGACACTTGGTAACTCTTGAAAATCGTTTTTTCGCGGGCTTACTATTTTTTTATATTTTTTTTTTTTTAGTATGGTAATTAACATAAAGTCTAATATGGCAAGGCAAACCATATTCGAGTGTGCGTGAATTGTGTTTTTGTTTGTTTTTTTCGGTTTTTTTTGTATTTTGTTAGCCAAAAGCCAGATGGATGACAATTTCAGTTGGTTTTAGTTGATTTCGCTGGCAGTTGACACTCTCAAAATTCCGCTCACACACATGTGCCATGAATCTTGCACATGGAAAGCAGAAAACTGAAAACTTTCAGGCTCAAAAACCGAAAGCGGAAAATCCAAGCACAGCACACACACACCAAATGGGTGGCCCATGCGGCGTATGAGCAATCTCCAACCTGTTTGAAAAACGCCCACGCCGAAGATTGGGATTGGGAATCGGAATGGGATTGGGTTTGGGACAGCCAGCTGGGCGACCAGTTGGAAAGTAATTTGAATTTGGAGCACCCAGCCTCCCACAGCCCACTCTTTTTTCAGCCCCCGCCCCCCAAATGGTTCATACATTTCACTTACCATTTTGTTAGCTGCTTTGGCTGCCGTTGCTTAAGTGCTTTTGCGTTGAAATTTGAACTTCAAAAAAAATGTTAAAAAAATATAGTTGACATTAGTTGCAAGTAACGTGGTGTTTTGGGTGAAAACAAACGGGTGAATGGATAAACACAAGCAAAAAATAAAAACACATGAATTTCACAGCCTACTTAAAAAGAAAAGTAAGCCTATAAGTCACTTTTAAAAAACCGATGTTATTTTAATCATTTAAGAAACATTTAAAATGAAAAACCTATTAGTTCTTCGGTTACAAAATTGAGATACTTCTTTTATAACATTGCAAGTCTAAACAGCCTTAAAATCCACAAGATAAATAAATGTGAAAATAAAATCATCTGTAAGGTAATATATCAGTTTATTAATAATTTTAATCTATTTTCTGATAAAACTTCTATAATTTAATATCAAATATAATTTCCTTTGGATATTTATGAAGTGAAACAATATCCTCTATAAGGTAATATATAAGTTTTTTAATACATTCAATTTATTTTCTCATAAAACTTCTGTAATTTAATATCAAATATAATTGCCTTTGGATATTTATGAAGTGAAACAATATCCTCTATGAGGTAATATGTCAGTTTTTTAATACATTCAATTTATTTTCTCATAAAACTTCTGTAATTTAATATCAAATATATTTTTCTTTAGATATTTATGAAGTGAAACAAAGTCATCTATAAGGTAATATATAAGTTTTTTAATACATTCAATTTATTTTCTCATAAAACTTCTGTAAATGTATATCATTAGTATATTTTTTATTAGAAATTTATGAAAAGAAACAAAATCATCTTTATAATAAATTAAATTTATTTTCTCATAAAACTTCTGTAATTTAATATCACATATATTTTTTATTAGATATTTATAAAGTACTGAAAACTGCCCAATCACACCTCGTCAAAACAAAGTAACCCTCTCGGCAAAGGCTGTCAAACAAAAAGGCAACTTCGAAACACAAAAAACAGACGGCTTCAAACGATTTAAGTAATTGCAGCAAATATTAATAAGTTTCCCCCCCCTCGGATTTTGCGTAGATATTTTTTGTTTGTTTATTTTTTTGTGCTTTGTGTACCGTACAAATTTCAGTTGAAAACCGGGATAGAAAGGGCAGTGGCGGCAATAAAACACGCGAAACTTTTGGCAGAGCGCGAAAAAAATAGAGTCCAGCGAAAGAGGAAAAAAGCAGCGCGAATCGTAAATCGCAAATCGTATATAGGTGTATATAGAGTGTTGTGTATCGGATCGGATCGAATCGAACCGAACCGGCGAGCGTCGACCAAGAAACTGAAACTGAACCGCCGACTGTCGGCGTGCGAGGCAGCGCAGCGGCAGAGGAGCAACAGAGGAGTGGCAGAGGAGGAGCAGCGACGGCATGGAATTGGAATTGGTGGGACCGGAGCTGCTGCTGCCGGCGCTGCCAACGTCGACGTCGCGTCAGTTGGTGCGCAGGCGCAGTGTCCGCGAAGCGTTGACCGCCAGGAGTCAGCGGTACAGGAGTGCCGCCCAAGCAGCGAGCCCCGCTCCCGTCTCGGCCCCCACTTCCGCAGCGAAGAGGAACCGACTTCCGCCCCCCGGCACCGGAAACATCGCCAGGGTGCAGCCCAGCAGTAATACCACCTCAAGGATCCGGCGGGATCGGGAGGCCCAACGGGTGCCAGTGCCCAGGCCACCGCGGCAAATACTCTCTGCCAGGGTAAGGTTTATCATTATAATCCTTGTCCTTGTTATATCAATATTAAGGATATTTTACCGTTTATATATCTATTTAATATTTACACAGTCAGTATTAAAATATTCCTGGAACAAGTTCTTTATATATTACCTATAACATACTTCCTATGCTTATTACATATTTTAATTATATTAATATTAAGGATATTTTATATATCTATTTAATATTTACCTAATCAGTATTATGTAATTCCTGAAACAATTTCTTTATATTAAACAAATAATACTTCTTATGTAGTCAGATGAAAACATTTTATATAAATCTTAATCTGATTAGATATACATCCTAATTTTTACTTTTATTTATATCGATATTAACCTAATCATTATTATATTATTCCTAAAATAAGTTCTTTATATATTACCAATAACATACTACCTATGTAGTCCTGAAGATAAAAACAGATTTGGCATTTTATTTAGATGCTAATCTGTAGAGATATATTTGATCCTAATTTTTTTCACACATGTAAGAAGACTATAAAAATTAATCTGTGAACCTATCATAATTATTATCAAAAAGTTTTTGCAAATATATCACCCATTATGTTCTGTAATATCATAAAATATAATTAAACTTCATAATTCATAATTTAAGACTTTTATAAAAATGCCAACCAACCATAATTTTCGTAATTCTTATTAATGGTTTTAAAATATATCAAAAAAATGACAAAACAATGTAGAAGTTCCGAATTTCGTCATGTCTTATTGTATTGTCTTTAACTTATACATATATGTGTATATGATTTTATAGCAATTATTGAATCTTAAGTTCTAAGACAATAATCTTAATGCCTTTCACTGTAAAAATAGCTTTTAATAAATTTAAAATGAAATAAAAGTTAAATATGTTACCATTGCTTCCAGGCCCTTGGCATCTCTAATCCTTATAAGGATGACCAGCCCGCCAAGGAGCGACGATCGGTGACCCAGCGGAGTCGTCGTCCGGAGGTCAAGACCCGGAATCAGCCCCATCCAACACCGGCCACCGCCCGACCTTTCATCGGCGGGAAGTACACTCAGCCGCAGCCACCACCCACTCTCCGAAAAGCTGCCCCCCCTGCAGCGACTCGCAGGACCCGCCCATGCCTGCGAACCGTCCGCGCCAAGGTCGACTCGTACCTGTGCCCCCACCTCTCCAGGTCACCAAGCCCACCCCCTCAGCCCGCTCGATCCGCTCAGCCCATGAAGAAGAAATCCATGGCGGAGGCCCATCAGCAGTTGGAGCTGCTGCTCTCGCGGATCGAGCGGTCCGGCGACTATCAGCCACCCCCTCCGCCCGCTGACCTGGCCAGGAGAAGGGGCGGGACCAAGGTCGCCAAGGGGGCGAGCCGCCAGATGGCGCAACCACCACCAGTGCCAGCTGGTTCTCCAATGCTTAGCGCACGGAGGAACTACAGTGGGTCAAGATCTTATTCGAGGATCGCCACGGAATCGCTGGAGCAGCAGGACGGCGATCACCTGCCCCATGTCGTACCGCTCGTCCAGAATCCGCAGTGTCTGCCGCCGGAGAAGCGGGATGCGCTGCTGGAGCTTCTGCAGCGAGCCGGGCAGCACGACAAGGGCATCGTGGACATTGTGGGCAGCTCCACCGGAGATCCCTCCCGAGACACCATGCTCATGCTGCTCCAGATGCTGTGAGTATATCTGAAAATTTTTAAAAAAATGTTAAAGAAGGTTTTGAATCCAAGAAACCCTTAGAAACCGAGATATTTTATTTTTAGTATATAATTCAAGGGATACCTTAAATAATAAGAGTAGATTTTTTCTTTTATAGAAACTTTTATTATAGAAAAGTAACTTATAACCAATATCAGTTAGCTTTTTCAGTTGCAGTTATAAAATTGATTCGGTTATTACGGTTCAAACGGTATAATGGTTACGGTTTCGGTTGGCTACCCAGGTGGCAGCAATGTCTAAAAATAATAATCAAATAATGTTTCTCCAGAAGCTGTACGTGCCCCTTACAACCGAGGTTCAACATGTAGAGTCTATACTTGTATCACATATTTGCATTTCACATCTTGTAGGAATTTTTTCATTTTATATTTTCCAATTCTTTCTACTTCACTTTTTGCATAAGACTTTCTTTGAAAGATTTGGTTTCTAGCGGTTTTATGTTTGTTATCCATTATATTATGCTATGCTCAACCTATTTAATTATGAAAATTTTGTATGTGACTGAAGGAAAATTTTATTTAAAATACAAAACGAATTTAAATTTCTTCTTTCTTTTTCAATAATTAATATATACTAATTTTAAATCATGAGGCTAAAATAATTTGAAGTCACTGTTATTTATGCTGCTATTTGTTTAACCGCCACTGTTTACGAGGCAGCGGCGTTGGGGCGCTGCGACTGCGCCGCGGCAGAGGCAATGGCAGCGTCAAAATGATGTCATCGCCGGTCGTCAGCTGAGAGAGTGTGGGAGAGAGTGGGAGAGAGGGGGCGATTGGGAGCGAGGGGGCGGCGAGAGTGGGAGAGTGGGAGTCAGCTGGCAATGCTCCTCCGCTGACGCCATCGTCGCTGCCGGCGTCGCTGCCGATGGAGTTACTCATATATTCATTTACCCATACTAATTCACATCAGCCGGCGTCTAAGCAACAACAACAACAACAACAAAAGCAAGAGAATAACTAAAACAGGAGCAACAACAAGAACAACAAGGGCCACTGGTTGTTTTGGTTTTTGTTTTGTTTTCCTTTAGTTGGGGCTCTAAAACCCTCTCTCTTTCATGACTCTCTTTTTTGACCCTTTTTTTATGGTGACTACACTTGGGAATTTATTCGACATTCTTAATACCCTACAGTAAAAATATAGTTCCATTAATTAAAAATAATAACATAATTTCCAATTTATAGAATAGTTTTGATCTAACAATTAAATTAATTTGATTTCAATCATATCATTTTAAAATCTCTTTAAAATTGGCTAACTTATTTAAACTGTCTGATTAAAGTATCAAATTTATTCGAAAATCTTAATACCCTTCAGTAAAAATATAAATCTACTTATTAAAAATATCTACATATTTTCGAGTTAATAGGATAACTTTCATATAACAATAAAATAACTTTTCGTTTTAATCATACCGTTTTAAAATCTTTTTAAAATTGGCTTATTTATTTAAGTTGTCTGGTTTAAGTATCAAACATTTGTAAGCTAAATTTAATACCTACATTTTTAAATGTCTTGTTAGGTAATAATTTTATTGATTGGAATGTTATGACGTACTTAAATTTCTAACATTTTTCTTATTATTGTTTCACTTATCAATTTTATTGCAGTCAAAATAGCGCCATAAAAAATAACAGCCCCTAAAAAAGATAAAGAGCCAATTTATATAATAAATTAATTAAAAAGAAATGATGATAAAGAAATATTATTTATGGCTTTGATACTTTAAGCTTTGTTAAATTTTATTCAAAATTAGTTAATAGTCAAATATTATTGCAACGCCTTGTCATTTTTCAAAACCTTATCAGCTTAAGGAAACCCCCTAAATTATTATCAGTTACTATGTTTTTGCTCTAAGCTGTATGACGACTTGAAGCTAAGATGCTAAGCTTGTTTTTATTTAATTTAATTTTCATTTAATTCTGTTAATTGTTTTCATGAGAATATTACGCCGTTGCATTTTAATTAAATCAATCAAAATCTTAGGTACATTAAATACCGCATTTTGTGTCCGTAATTCGTGATTGAAAGGCTTAGTTGTATCTAACTGTTAAGATAGTCAAAAAGTCGGTGACTAATGGCAAGTTCAGGGTCGCCTCGCTCTACGCTGCTCTCCCTCTGATATTTCGGATTACTGGCTTTATATGGTTCTGGTTTTTGGGTCATTACTGGCTCCACCGCTAATGTCTCATGTCTCACATTTTTTTTTTTTTAGGATTTTATTGTCTTTGGTGTGCAAATTTAGCAGTTATATTTTTTTTTTCTTTTTGCAATTCGGTCTTTTGCTGATATGAAGAAGGCCCGTAATCAAATACTACGATCGCCGGGCGCTAATCGACAACTGTTTGCAGTTGGAATTTGCGATATAAGGCCGTATATATGGTGTGCATATACTGTACTGCTGGGTATGTGTGGCTATATTTACCCAACCGAACTCCGACAATCGTCTGATTTTGGTTAATGGCAAGGGTGCTATAAATAGTGATGGGCTCTACCTCCTGAAACCCTTTTGCCCTTTCGATATACAATCGCCTATGAGTCCAAGAACTCCCATTTATTTCGTCATTTTCTCCACCTTGGTTTTTTGTTTTCTTTTTCTAGCCAAGTCTATTTTTTTTTTGCTGTTGCTGATGCGCTTTATTTGTTTGATCAATAAATTTGGCTTTGCCATTTAGCGAACGAATCGCCCCATCTTTTTCTGCCAGAGGGTTGCCTCATCGGGCGGTGTTTATTAATTAATTCTTCTACGGTTTTTGGCTTCTCCATTTCCAAGTTTGATTGTGTCATATTATTTACGTGCGCTATCACTGCGATTGAAAGGAGGGGGGTTTCCAAAACAATGGAGGATGGGAGGCCTGGGAGCCACAACCTTAACCCCAGTGACCCAGGCCATGAATAAAGGAACTAATGAATGAATGACTGAATGAATCGCATAATCATACTCTATTCAACCAACCGGTTACTTAGACTTTGACATCCTCTTTGGCAAAAAGTTTGGTAATGCTTTTAAATTTGATTTCTAAAATATGTTTCTAAACTTTTGGTATTTAATTTTAAAATAATTATAAACAATAATAAAATAGATACTCAATGTAAAAATTTTGAGAGACCTAAAATATTTAAAAACAAATTTGGGAATAGTCTCCATTAATTTCTTATAATTTTTACTTCCATAACTCGAATAGAATAGAATTTATACTATTGACAATAGAACTAGTTTAACTTATAATGACTTCGAGTTAGGGAATTTGTAATTGTATTCATTTTCCAGTCGAGAACAATTTTTAATTTCAAAAATACTTTTTCAGACTTATCGTAGAAATCTCTTCCAATTTATTGGGTTACAACCGTGTTTAGATAGGGGCTATTTCTGTGACGCTACCATTTATAATCCCTTATTTTTCCCTTGAAAACTTTACTCACTAAAGATGCACAGGTTAATGCTAGCAGTCTTTAAGAGGGTATTTATAAATAGAGGTTAGCCTGACGCGATTTGTTTTAATTTTCCTATTTTTGACATTGGCCTTGGGGCCTCTGCCCCCCAACTATCACTGCAGAAAGGGGAAGTGGAGTGGGTGGCTGGGAGGTTTGGTGTTTGGGAATTGGGTCTTCCATCGAGGACCTCGTGTGCAGTTCCCGGAGGGGTAAGAAAACTTGCGTGACGGCAGCCCATATGAAAGCTAATGCCAATAGCTCCCCGGACACCCCTTTCCCGGACAAAAAGTTGAGCTGATGCAATAACTCAACTTGATCTATACTGGGGATACAAGTTTGGGTTTGATATTATCATTTCTATTCTTGACTACGGGTGTTAGTTTAAACCTTCTTATAAAATCCTGTATTTACATATATCAATCATGGAAAATACTATAAAATACCCAAGAATCTTATTAAGACATACTTTAAGCACTTATTTGATTTATTTCCCCCATTTCCGTAGACCCCTCAGCCTGGACGAGTCCCCTTACAAGGAGAAGTTCTGGGAGGGACATCACTATCTGAAGGAGCGTCAAAAGCTGCGCCAGAAACTCCCTCCCGGTGACGAGCGCCTCAAGGAGGTGAAGGTCCTGCGAGGCCCCGATGGCCGGATGTTCTTCTCCCGCACTCTGGAGGAGGAGCTGAAGGACGAGAAGAAGGTGCTGGATTTCATGGAGGCGGAGCTTCGAAAGCAGGGACCAGGACGGAATGAGCCAGGCGGGAATTTACTGGGGCAATCCTTGGATTATCATCCGCTGAATGAGCGGCAGGAGCAGGCGTTACGGGAGCGAATGGAGCTGGAGCGGGAAAAGCAGCTGGTTATCAACTGTCGGGAGCAGCGACGCCAGAAAGATCAGCTAAAGGAGCAGAATAGTTCATGGGGTGCTGGAGGAGCTCCTTCCGTGGAGCAACCCTCTCATCTTCGAGAGATTCAATCCGAGAATCCCAATTCCACTACACCCGCTGATCCGTGGAAGCAGATCCTCCAGGATCGGAACCGCTTTCAAGCCCACTGCAATCTCAGCTGTTTCTACAACAATTCTCGCAGCTCAGCACCTTGGAAAATATATGCCAAGTAAGAATATACCCTTAGTTAAAAATAATATTTTATATCCAATCTTTTACATTAACAATATTTTCTTATATGTACTCTTCCTTTTAGAGTGGCCAGCAAGCTCAGTTCGCAGCTTATCGAAAGTGTGGACGTTGAATTTCATCGCAGCGTGGCTAATTATATCAAAGACTTTGTAGCCTACAAATGCAACACCAAATAGGTACACCTAGCATCAGCGACTTTCCTCATCACTGCCCAACTTATCACATTTTACAGAAGTGGACCCAGAGTTTTTACAATTTACTACTCTTTCATTGTAGCTTTAAAGCTATATTTATCCTGCCACAAATTGACAAATTGTAAGTGTAGTACAAATTGAATATTTAAAAAATTGTATAGAAAAAAAATTAAGTTAATAAAAAATTATTGTATTAATGGAGTAACGAGAGAATTAAATATTTATTTATTGTGTATCCTAAAAGTAGGCAAACTCATATGTATTGTATTTTTTTATAGCAGCAATTGCCACACAATACAATAACATTGTGATTTTCTTTGTATGTGTAAAATCCACTGGGTACACTGTACGTGTTGCGGTAAAGATTCCCTATACCCGCTTAATGGTTTGTGGCCAACCGCTGTTTAAATGCCGAATTGAAAAAAAATTGAAAAACGTGATTCCATTAAAACACATTTAAGTCGTAAACCAAAAATAATCATTTGAGTTTTATTTAATGAGTACTCGTTTTTATTATTTAAAAAAAAAATATGTTTCACTCTTGTCCACAAGAGCCACAAAATCACCAAATTGAAAAGAAAGCAAATCTCTTTTTAGTTTTGTCCACAATGCGTCTAAAAATCAGAACATTTTTAAAAGAAATAAAAAATGAATAATAAAATTTCAAACAATTTGTATAAAGCCAACATTCGTGTTTTAGATATTTGGGAATTATTAAATAAAAATTATTCTTAAAAATAAATTGTCATAAACTCGGAAACCGCAAAATTGTGAGTCTTCTTCTTTTGACATGCTATGTGGACGAGAATACCCATGACTTGAACTTAGTAAAGACCATTTTGGTTTGCTTATCGAGTTGTGTGAAACGTCATTCTCATTTAATTGTTCTCCAAAAATCAAATTCTTCAATTTATACAGGGTGGCAGACGGCGCTTAGCAACTAACTAAGTTAAAGTTACCGAACTAGACTAAACTAGGCGTAGGGTTCGTACTTAAGCCGACTTGCTGCTCCACTTGGTTACTTCGTGTCCAGTGGGAGCAGGATGCGAGTGTGTGGCGTGATGTCAACAGTGGCTAGTCAAAGTTAAGTCTGATCCTTCATGGTTAATCTAGGTGCTAGGCTTAAACACTAAACTACAACTAAGGCGATGTGTGTGTGGGGGATAGCTGTCCTGTGTTTGTATCGTGTGTGTTCTGCATCTCTGTCTCTGGCAATGTGTGGGAGTAAAAAAAAGTACAATAAATATGTTGATCCATCATCGTCGTGTTCATCCACAGGGCTCTGGCGGGGTGGTAGGTCCTGGTGGATGGGCAAACGCATCTCAGAGCAGGTTGGAGCAACTCGCCTCGGCGGCGGCACAGTTTGTGGAGCGGGGCAGGAACTGGATGTGCTGCCAGGTGGCATTGAAGCTGGAATAGTGATAATAGGAACATGAGTGTTGATTTAAGTGGGGTCGAAACACAAACACTTACAGATAACTCTCGGCCAGCTGGCTCTCCACCAGCGGCTTGATCCTCGCATAGTCCTTGTCCGCAATGGTGGTGCTGCAATGCTGCTGCATGTAGGAGAGCGTGAACAACTCGTTCTCGTTGAAGGACCTCAGTCCCGGTACCCTCAGGCGCCTGGTGAGTCCCAGGGCCTCGTAGGTGTTGACCTGGTCGATTCCCGATCCCTGGATGGCACTGCCCGCATCGATGGCATTCACAAAGTTGCTCAACGCCCTGGCAGCCGTTCGGGCTGCACTCAAGGTCACATGGAAGCTCTTCAGCGCACTGCTCGACAGCTCATTCAGTTCGTGGACCAATCGAGGGGGCTGTCCCGCCGCCAGACAATTCACATCCGGTCGGGGATATAAAATCTCCGGTACGGCGTCACTGATGTCCGTGCTCTGGGTGTTGAACTGCAGCAGGAAGGTGGAGAAGTTGTCGATCAGGGCCTCCAATATATCAGTGCCTATGCGGGCAAAGTTCACAGCTCTGCACGAAAAAGAAAAGGAGAAGCAATCATTAAAAAGGGAATTCTCTTTTAGATTTATATTTCATACTTATATTATTGTTTTAAATATAAATACAGTTTACCTTTAAATATTTTTAATAAAGGATAATGGTCTAATGCTTACCTACATTCAAGGTAAGCATTGGACAATTTTAAGTGCTGCCCATTTTACCAAGGAAACTTTGAGAACTTCATGCATTATGTCTTTAAACGAATATTAATATTCTAAAATACTTATACATACACAGGGTATCGGTAGTCGTAGTAACTGGAGCTGATCAACACCCTTGAGACGAGCAGCATGTTCAGTTTGTTGGAGTAGGCGATGGCCTGTGGATTTTCCCTTGTGTACATCTCGGAAACAATGCTGCCAAACAGAGCGGGATGGATGGATGGATGGATCGGGGAGAAAGTGTTAGAAAGTTTTCGGATGGACAAGATGGACATTGCGCAAGACTTACACATCCAGCAAGGCCAGCGTGCCCAGCTTCTTCTCCATCTGCAGGCGACGGAAGGTCCAAATGCCCTCCAAGTGCTCCACGAAATACACATTGGTCAGGATCAGTTCGTTGTAGTATTGTGCAAGATAGTTGGGCTGCTGCAAGACCTCATCGGGTATGCCGAACTGCAGTCGCATCTCGTTGAGTTTCTTCTGGATGAACTGTCTGGCCGCCGGCTCCAGCCACTTGGCCTGGTCTAGCGAATCCTTCAGCTGGTTCCGCAGACTGAAGAACATCAGCTTGAGGAGCTCCTCGTTGCCCTGCGTCTTGTTCAGTCCCCTGCTCTTCGTGGCCGCCGTTTCGAATTGCTGCCTGGGCGGCTGTTGCTGCAGTGCATCCACCGCGAAGGGCAGCCAATCGCGCACCACCTTGCTGCAGATGAGCCACCTGGGATAGCTGGCGGTGCGTCCATAGAGGGCATGGTCGAAGTTCTCCGCCAGAGTGCGGTATTCCTTGGACAAATGTGGCAGCATTTTACGGGCCAGCGACCAAATAATAAAGTTGTTAATTGGTCTGTAAACAGCAATATTTAATTATCAATCTGAGAAATCTGCTCAATCACATGTTTTTATAATCTTTTAAATATCTCTAGTATTTAAGGGAATGTATTATATTATATATATAATATTTTTCTAAAAGAAAATCAGTTAGGAAATTGAAATAAACTAAAAAGCGACCAAATAATAATGTTGTAAATTAACAACAAATGTAATAAATAATAATTAAAGAAACTGTTTGTATTAAATGTCAAAATACCACTGGTAAATAAGAACAGAATAAACCATTTACTCTTTATTCTTTTTCTACAATACAAATTAGTAAAGACATTAGTATAAACTAAAAGTCAATGTTTTGTAGGTTATTTTTACAAGCTTAATTTAGCCTTTTTTTTATTATAAACTTAAAAAACAAAAGCTATGGGAAAAGGCAGTCTTAATTGATATTTAACGTTCTGTTTGAAAAGGACTGTGGTCTTTTAGTCAACAAATCTTAAAAACAAATAACAAAATTTAATTGTTAGTTATTTGCATATACATATATATGTATGTATTTTAAAAATGTATTTTTTTCAACTTCAATAAGAATTAAACTTACTTTTTATCCGAGGTGGAGAGTAGAATAGATAGAGCATGCATGACCTCTACATCGCGTACCAGAACCTCTGTGTCTTCAGTGATTTTGGTTCTTGGAAAAATGGCCTGCAGGGACTCTAGAATGGGTAGCTAATGGGGAAGCCATATTATTATATTATTAATGATGAATTCGTGACCTTAGTTAAATGCTCTTACAGAGGGAGCTTTAGTCTTCAGATCAGCCAGACGCATTAGTTTATTCAGCTGACGGCTGCCATCAGCTTTGGCATCCTCAATGTGCTTTACAATACGACGTTCGTAGTGGAAAATGTCATCGGCAAATAGATCAGCCTCCCGGGAAACAATACCTAGAATAAGGAAAATATTACATCGATTAAATTGGATGATACAAAGTATATACAAGTTATTTCAAGCTCACCCATGTTGATGGCGAAATCCCTGAGGAGCAGCTTATAGCCCCGAACCACTTCTTCGTCGGCATCGTCGCCATAGAAGTACTTGTCGGGCAGACCAATCTCGCCCTCGTCCAGGGTGATCACATAGTCGTGGGGATTACTGTAGCCGTTCTCCACGCTGACGCGATAGTAGGGAAAGATCCCGTGTTTGGCCTGGAGGAGTACCAGGACCCGCTTGTAGTCCCAGGATTGCAGGCGATTGGTCTCGCGAAATGCCTGCCAGCCATCTGGAAATTAATCAAGAGACACAAATTAGTGGGATCGTGCGAATAGTTCTGGTTCTCGGCGGGCTATTCTCAGCGGAAACCCCCTACGAGAAAGATATGCGCTAATAGAAATTCCCCAAAACCAAACACCCATGGGATTTGGAAAGAAAATATTCGGTTGCATGCACACATTATAGCATAGATCCGCATATATACACACAAACGAGTTTATATAGGCGAATATCGGTGGTTTATGGCAATTAAAAGCGCTAAAATGTTTGGCTGCTTGAAATTTTCAGGGCGCTCAGTCGCTTCTTCTCTTGCAATCATAAAATATTGAACCAAAAATTAAATAAAACAAAAAACAAACGAAGAATTCGGAAAGGGAAAATGGGAACTCGGAATGCTCTTTCTTAGGAAATCTTTATACGTAAATTTCAAATCCCTTTAAGAGTCGTTCCAAAGTATGCAATAACATAATTAATGTCTAATAATCTAGTATTTTAAAACACTTGATCACTAATATTTAAATTAGAGTATTTTAAAATATTTTCTAGTTGAGGTGCCAGTAGATCCCAATGATTAATTTTACATATCCATAGAGTTTATAAAATAAAGGAAGAGTTTATATATAAGCCTGGTGTAAGTAAAGGTAGTTAAGATTAGTTGGATCATGAGCATAATATATATGTAAGGAATGGTATTTTAATACAAAGATATCATTACAAGAGTTTGGATAAAACATATTAAAAATTTTCCACATTTTCAGGTAAACCCCATAGAGTTGTATGTTGGATTTTCACAAAAAGGGTACTGCCACCTTGGGGAACATCCCCATTACCAACACTAATCTGACCCACTCATCACTATAGAGACCATTTGACCCCTATATGACTATCGAATCTCTCGCAAGCTTCATCTTCCAGTCGAATGACATGCAGACATAGAAATTGATTGTGTTTCAGTTTGTTGACACCTGCAATTAGCACTTGCGGCAATCGATACTGACACAAAAAAAAAAATAAAAGAAATAAATAAAAAATACCAGCCGTGCTAGCCGGATTTTGTAGTTATTACGCCAAGTTGGAATTTCGATTTTGGGGTTTTCGATGTTATAGTTTTTTAACGATTTATTGCAAACCACTTTAATTAACTTCAATTAAAGGCGAATCTTGGCCGGTGTATAAAAGGTGACAGTTGTGAGTGTCAGCCATATCAATCCAGTGCAACAGCTCCAGGGCAACAGTTGCTCCTCCTCCGTCTCATCCATTCATCCATCCTACCAAATCCCAGCATGAAGCAGTTTGTGGTGAGTTTGAACAGGAACAGGAATCCTTTGGAGTGGCGTTAGCTAACTTGGAGTGTCCACATCCCATCCAATCCAATAGGTTTTGGCCGTTCTGGCTTTGATCGGCGCTACCCGGGCCGCTCCTCGTCCGGATGTCAGCCATCTGGCGGGCTACAGCTACCAGGCTGGTGGCTTCAACGGCGGCAACCTGGTGGCCAACCAGGTGATCAGTGCTCCCCTGACCTCGGTGTCCACCTCCTATCAGCCCACGGCAGCCGGTAGCAACTACTTCAGCTCGGCACCCGCCATTGGCCAACTGAACCTGGGCTCCTCCGGCTCCTCGGGCGTCGTCAACTACCAGGTGGGCAACTTGGGATCCTCCAACTACCAGGTGGAGTCCTCCTCTGGCGGCGCCGGCAGCGGCGGCATCGTTAGCGACAGCATTGGCCTGGCCGGTCTCCAGCCCGGTCCCACCATCAACTACAACGAGCAGGAGTCGTACATCAGCCACCTGGCCAACTTCCAGCCCGCCCAGATCAACAAGCACTTCTACATCCACAGTGCTCCCGAGGATCACGATGAGCAGCAGATCGTCCGCTATGTGAACGTGGGCAGGCCCCAGAAGAACTACCGCGTGGTGTTCATCAACGCACCCACATCCACCACCAGCAAGGCCAAGATCATTGCCAACATTGCTCCTGTGGAGGAGAAGACCGCCATCTATGTCCTGTCCAAGAAGTCCAACGCTCTGGATGTTAGCGCCGAGGTGGTTACACAGCGCCCGGTGGCCAACAAGCCGGAGGTCTTCTTCGTCAAGTACAAGACTCCCCAGGAGGCGGCCCATGCCCAGCAGACCATTCAGGGTGAGTAGTTCAAGGGAGGATTGGTTATCTAGTAAAAATTTCTGGGAATTCTGGATTTCCACTTGTGATATAGGTTAGGATTTTAGCTAAATTGCAGTAGGCAATGGGAATTTATTGGAAGGTACTTTGATATCTCTTAAAAATGGTGAAAATGTTTTAGATCTTTTCTTAAGGAGTGAGTTTACAAAATAAAGCAAAAAGTAGATTATAGTAAAACTTCATGTCTATACGATTTTGAAAATTGCAGAAAAGAAATGTAAAGTAAGATGCAATATAGTGAAAAGCAAATACTATTTTGAGTTTAATACTTTTTCAAATTGATACTATTTTCAATTTAGTACAATTTCCAATTAAATACTATTTTCAATTTAATACCATTTTCCATAAAATACTTTTTTTCAATATAATACTATTTTCAATTTAATACTGTTCTCAATTTAATACTATTCTCAATTTAATGAAATTTTCCATTTAATACTGTTTCCAACCTAATAGTAATATCATTTTAACACTTTTTTCAATTTAATACTTTTTTACTTAATACTATTTTCAATTTAATACTTTTATCAAAAACCACAGCGGAAATGGTTTAGTGCCTTTCTAAAATTTATGAGTAATCCCTTAAAAACTTTTCAATAGTGCTTTCACCAAGAGTCTGATATTTTAATTATTTTTTAGTTGGTATCCAAAAATCACTTTAAAAACCAATCACCAAACATTGTTTCCCCCCTTCAAACAGCCAACTACGATGCTCTGGGTGGAGGCTCTGAGACCAGCAACGAGGGCGTGATCCCCGTCTCCTCCGTGATCGGCAGCCTGGGCGACAATGGAGCCTCCGGCGTGGTGACCGACGCCAGTGGCAGCCTGAACATCGTGGGCACCGGCGGAGTTCCCAGCGTGGATGGAGGCGCCTCCTATGAGGCGGAGGGCAGCCAGCGCCAGGTGATCAGCACGGTGACCACCGGCACCAATGCCCAGGCCACCTATCTGCCCGTGAGGCCTGTGAGGAAGTAGGTGCATCACCTGGACACCTTATCCACCCCTCCTCCAGCATCACCTAGCCACATCCACTGGACGACACGCACACACACACACACACACACACACTGTTGAAGACCCGGGGGATTCGGACTGGATGGGAAAGCCCCTTGGGTTTGGGGCCCATTGCAGTGGAGTCCCGCCGGGGAAACCTATGCGATTTTTTCTATTTAGTTTTGGCTTCGGCACTACTTCATATTTCTTGTGTATATTTTTTTTTTTTTAATAAAATATAAGCGTTCTCATAGGCATTCAAAAAATGTAAAGTACATGCAGTTTTATTTCGTCGATAAGGCAAGAACAAAAAAACAAATGTTGTAAAACAACTATAGACATATATGAACACTTGCTATATGGCAATATACCCAATGCATTGGTTTGGTTTAATTTCATACCGATTTCTTCTTCTACTGTCCGCGTCTGCAGTAGAGTGACAACAACAAAACATCATAACATCAAAACATTAAGAAACATCAAAACTTTAACATTAAAAGCAATATTTGAAGTTAGGAAAGTGCCAAACCAACGAAACTGTTAATTTTTCGCCTGCACATGGGACAGAGTTCAGATGGCAGACAGGAACGGAAGGCATTGCGAGCAAAAGATGTGTCGGCATGTTCCCTTGGAATTCTTCCTGACGGGATCTTTCTCTTCGGTCAAGTCAATAATAGATTCATGTGGAGTTCCGTCGGCTGCTCGGCGTGTTCCCTTGGTATTCTTCCTGACGGGATCTTTCTCTTCGGTCAAGTCAATAATACCTTCCTGTTGAGTTCCGACGGCTGCTTGGCGTGTTACCTTGGAATTCTTCCTGACGGGATCTTTCTCTTCGGTCAAGTCAATAAAACCTTCATGGTGAGTTCCGTCGGCTGCTCGGCGTGTTCCCTTGGAATTCTTCCTGACGGGATCTTTCTCTTCGGTCAAGTCAATAATACCTTCATGGTGAGTTCCGTCGGCTGCTCGGCGTTTTCCCTTGGAATTCTTCCTGACGGGATCTTTCTCTTCGGTCAAGTCAATAATACCTTCATGGTGAGTTCCGTCGGCTGCTCGGCGTGTTCCCTTGGTATTCTTCCTGACGGGATCTTTCTCTTCGGTCAAGTCAATAATACCTTCATGGTGAGTTCCGTCGGCTGCTCGGCTTGTTCCCTTGGTATTCTTCCTGACGGGATCTTTCTCTTCGGTCAAGTCAATAAGAACTTTCGGTTGAGTTCCGACGGCTGCTCGGCGTGTTCCCTTGGAATTCATTTCTTTTATTTTATTTCTATTCTTTTTTTTTAAATTATATAATTCTTTTTGTAAACTTAAACACGCTGTCCTTATTTGAACGTTTAATTCTAAAGTAAGACTTGGGGGTTACTGTAAGTTCAAAAGATTCTGTTCGATTGTAAATAGGGGACGTGACATATCAACACGGCCACCTTTGTTTTTCTTTTGAGAGAACAGTACCATCTTGAGTTCAAAGCTCACCATTTCCAAGATTTGTCCTTATACCTATTTCGACAATATTACCACTCTTATGGGCGTGGTACCCTGGTGAAATAAACTTGCGCTGCGCAAAAACCTCAAGAATCTGCATGCGAAATGCCAACATTCTAGCGTTTATAGCTTTAGAGACCTTAGCGTTCATACGGATGTACGGATAGATGGCTATTTCGATTCGGCTATTGATCTTGATCAAGAACATATAGTATACACTCTATAGGATGGACAACGCTTCCTTCTATTTGATACATACTTTCCGGCGAGTTTTATACACCCTTTTACTCTAGGAGTAACGTGTACAATTTAATCGATTGTATGACTGTTTTTACCTCATAATGGAAAACTCTGTAGCCAATTACCTGGACCTGAGTGACCTGTTGAACTGCCTGCAGCTTACACAATCGGAAAGTCCGAGATGTCGCCCAAAAAGTGTTTACAAAATTAAAAACCAAAACCTAATGCATGTGACAGCGTCAACTATTTGGCAAGCTGCTCATAATTGTTCAACCCGATCCAAACCGATCGACCGGCTCGTTCAACCCGTCCAATAGTGCTGGCCAATCTCGGAGGGCCAACTCAACTCAAAACTAAGAAAAAAAAAAAAAGCCACTCGGGTAAATAAATTAGCGACTTAAAAGAAACTCAACTCGGTATTGGAATTAAAATCGGAATAGCTATCGCTATCGGCATACCTATGCAAGCACCAGTCCCCCAAGGTCGTCATTTAGGCAAATGCAAGTCGTATTAAAATACCAAAGGGTATTAAATAAAAAAAAAAAATTAGCTATACCATACTATTACGGCAAATGGGCACGCCCCAAAAAACAAATTTATTATCAATTACAGAGAGGCGAGGAGGAGGAAAAAAAATAAGAAAAACAGAGAGTATGCGATACTATCTCCGTATCTTTCTCGGAGATCTAGCGTTCCGATCTGCATATCAATGGGCGGCGGCCAGATCTTTAGCATAAAGATAATCACACCTACTAAATAAAACGCCGCGACGGACGGTAGCCGCAAAGAGCCGAGGTCCAAAGAAGATTGAGATCGAATGATTGGAGTTCAGAGATTTGTCCCTCGATTCGATTTCTATTACTGTCATCATCAATAAAATGTTACATAAATTTTCAGCACAGCGAGCGATCGCAGGTGGTTATAAATATGGAATGCCTAATTGATAATTATCATTTTGTTCGGTTTTCCATAATCCACAGGCGATATGCGATCTGTGATCTGTGATCTGTGATCGCTGATCTGCTAATGGCTAAATTAGTCTAGTCGAAATCGGAAACTGTTAGAATATGCATTACTTGGACCCATTCCAATCGCCACCATTGTGGTGCCACCTGATTGTCAATCAGTTTTATGCGTTTATGTTCTGTCATCAATCGTCGGGGCCATAAATCCATTCAAAGGCATTATTCAAATGCGCTCGATGAGTGCAAATTATGTTTTATGCGTTTATTTTGGCCATATTTATGTGACCTCCAAGGCGAAGCGCCAGGTGAACGTGGGTTCGAGTCCAGGCTTATGGTCTGAGTCACCACCGATCGATTTTGCGTTGGGGTCACCATTTATGGTGACAAACATAGCGAAATACCAGCCGAAATCGATGGGAAATTCCGGCAAGCGAACAAGGAGGCTAATCGAAGCGATAATGGCCTAAGCTTTTTGGGCAGCGGAAATTGAATTCGACTCTTTTTAGGAAAATATCATTTCTTTGTTTAATACAAAAGAGCTTTAAATAACACTTATGCAGATATAACAATTGTTTAGTTTATAAAAATGTACATTTATACATTTTATTGAAGTCTTAAGCAGCTAAACCTATATTTCTACAGGTTTACTTTTATTAAATTGGCAGAAACCCAGACAACACCTGTTAATTAAAGAAATAATTTACAATGATATAATGTGCTAAAGAACTGATTAATATAAACTTTATATGAAAAACTTTTTTAGTACTAGAAAAGGGTGGAAACAACCTAAAAGGAAAAAGTTAAACTTAAAATGCTGGGTAACTAACTAAAAAAAATGGTTTACTTAAAGTTATAACAACCAAAAAGGATTAAACTACATCATTTTATAATTTATAATCCGCTAGGACCACACATGTAATTAATAAAAACTCATAATGAATAAAACAATAAATACCAGAAAAGCGTTTAGGTTTTAGTTTAGTAACTAAAAAATACCTGTTCTATATAAAAAGTCTTAAAAAAGTAATTATTGAACACTTCTTATGAAAAAAATATTTAATAAGAGAAAAGAGGGAAACAGGCGTATGTTAAAATTAAATAACTACAAAAAATATATACATGGGTTATTATTCCTAAAAAAAATAACTATTAAAGAATTTATATATATAATTACATAAGTTAGGGAAATTAGTGGATTACTATTTTACTCAGTCCTTGTTAAATTTTTTTTACTTTTAAATACCAAAGTTGGGAAGAATTTTCCAAAACTATAAGAAACCTCTGATTAAAGTCAAAGTAGTTATAATTATATTTGCAAATTAATTGATAGGCAAGTAGGCCCGAACTAATGACAGATGTGATTAAAATAAAAAAAAACGACAAACAGAAAACCCAGCAAACGTGTTTCTGGCCAAGATTGATGCTGCCAGCGATGATGAGGTGCCGTTTAATGAGATTCGCTAGGCCCCCAGCCCATTCAATGGTTTTTGCAGACCTATGATGGCTGGCTATGAAGACCTGTAGTAGTATATTTAGATATTTGCTAATCCATCGTGAATGCCCAGTCGATCGTCAACCAGTGTCAAGTTCAATGTCGAATGTGAGCCATGGTTTTCGGCTGCGTTCGTTCTAATTTGAATAAATTTTAGGTCAGATCGCAAGACAGCAAGACAGAGACATAGATATGGTATATGGCATAGTATAGTATAGACTTCATAGGCCCAGAGAAGCTGATAATCGAGAGTGTTGCTTTTGGTGGTTATATGCGGCATTTGCATTTGCATAAAGCCGACTGAGGCGGATGGCCCATTGGACAATCGGAGCATATTTAAGACAAGTGGAGCGGCCCAAAATGCAATCATTGCCTCGCAGCAGATCGTCAACGAAGCATCCAGCATCCAGCATCCAGCACATCCCAGAAACCACCAAGGATTACCAAAACAGAAACAGGGAATATATATATACCATACATATACCATGTTCCTCCAACAAGTGCTCGTGTGCTGCCTGATCCTGGTGGCCTCCACCCAGGCCCGTCCTCAATATGGCTACGAACAGCCTAGTGCGGATCTCTTCCTAGGCGGCGGCGGCGGCGGCGGCGGTGGCTCTTCTCCCGGTGGCAGTGTGGGCCTCATCGGTGGCCCCACCAATGGCCTGGTCAGCCTCCAGTCACATCGCGGTGGTGACAAGTACCTGCCCCCCGCCAGCACCACCCAGGCACCGATCATCAACAAGAAATTCTATTTGGTTTCCGCACCCGAGGATCACAGCAACGATGGCAAGGTGAAGCATCTGGTATTGGGACGTCCGCAGAAGAACTACCGTGTGGTGTTCATCAAGGCCCCAGCCGGTGATAATGCCAATGTGAAGTACTCGGCCGAGTTTGCTCCACAGGAGGAGAAGACCGTCATCTATGTGCTGAGCAAGAAGGATAACGATGTGGATGCCAGTGACATTGCCACCCCAGCGCCCACACAGCCCAGCAAGCCGGAGGTGTTCTTCATCAAGTACAAGACCGACGACGAGGCCAAGCAGGCGCAGCAGGAGATCCAGGGGCAGTACGACAAACTGGGCGGCACCAACGAGTACCAGGAGGATAACAACGCTCCCATCACCTCGGTGATCGGCAGTCTGGATGGCCTTAATCCTGATGGCAGCTACAACTACCGCCAGATCGCCAACCGTCCGGCTGCTGTTTCGCCCAATGCCCAGTACCTGCCCAGTCTGCTGAAGCACTAGAGGATTACCACCTGCTGCACTGCACCACCGCATCAACCAGATCACCCAAATCATCACCCGAACCCCGTTGTGTTGCGTATTTTTAAGAAATCACTCTATATTTTTTTTTTTCTATTTTTTTCTTGTTATATATGTTATCGAACTGTTGTTAATAAAAAATGCTTATATTAAAACCAAAATATCAAGCAATGTGTTTATACTTCCAAAGTATTTTTGGTGGCCAAGTGTGATAAGGTTCCCTTACTTTCATGAAGTTCCACTGCTTCTTATATGATTGCCCAATTTTATGCATCCCATATTTCTCGTTTCACAAGCTCAATATATTTAAAAAACAAAGGTCAGCCATTTAAAAAATTAATAAAAATCGTATAAATAAATTGAAATGTCTGATCGGCGCAATTAAATTAAAATCCAAATCGAAAACCAAATCAAAGTCAAAGTCAAAAATAAATCGAGGCAGAAAGAAACATTTCGGCTTTGTTTTCCCCGATATTCAAATCAGCAGACACATTTCAATATGTCCAAATCCGAAACCAAATCGAAGCTAAAAGCTGCCGTCAAAATTTCCAACAGAAATTAGCGTAAATGAAGTGAGAAATCAAAATAAGCTCATCAAATTTAATTAAATAGTGGACTTTTTTCTATTTTCTGTTTCTTTTTTTTTATTTTTGATGGGGCCATTAAACTAACGCTGCATAAACTGGGGCCAAAGATCGATTGATTAATGTTGAATCGCAGCTAATGGCATCCCAAGATACTCCAAAAAAATCGTGAAATTGAACCGAGGAAATAAAACGACCAAGTGCAAATCAATTTGGACATCAGGGAAGTAATCGCTCCTTTATTGGCATTAGCATTAATATTAATTGACATTTAATTTAAGTAATTAAAAAAATGTGTTAGGAAAAAGGAAAAGAAGTTTTGGATTGCGAAACATGCAGAGATATATTTCATAAATATTTTATCCAGCCTGTTGCGCGATAAATGAATATTAAAGCAATTAATCTTCTGACCTCCCACTCCTTGGCACCCCATTATCTGTTGACCTCTCCCAAAAAAGTCTCGTAGAAGTGACCCGAATAAGGCCCACTTGTTACATCTTCATAGGCCTCCAACCAACCAACTAACCAACTTATCTATGCACCTTATATGGCCAAACAATTTTTCTTAATAAAAGCGAGCATAAATCAAATTAGCTGTACCATTTTGCTTAAATGCGACATGAAAGTGTGGGAATTACGCGTCAATTTATGCAAATCCGATGGACGGACCAGTTGCCAATATACATATATACATATATAGACATATATACCGAGATATAGCCGGCCATTGTTGATATTTTAATTGTCTCTTGCTGACAACAACCAAGCCAAAAACGAGAAAAAGAGCCCAAATTAATCTACTAATCAGCGACGAGGCTGCGAACCAAATACAAATAACCAAGTATAACTGACAACGGATTTGGATTCGGATTCGGAATTGGCCGAAAGATGCAGATGGTAACAGAGGGCGAGAGTTGGCCAAGATCATTAGTCAAATGGTGAGGGCGTTGGATGCTGCGATTAGCAGCACTTCTTCTCGTATCCCCACCCAAAAAGCTATGGCTAAAAGCAAACCATAATCAAAATGCAAGCCCCACCTGATGGTAAATGATAAATGGACCTGCAAATCGGTGGGATGTGAGAAGAGCATAACGAAAAGGTATGTCAAAACCGAAGCAAATCGGGGCAGCGGGATCATCAAACCTTAATTAATTGTTTTTAAACCAAGTTGGGGGATTTTTTAAGGGTAATCGAGTTTTCTAGTGATTTTTCAAGGCCATTGAGCCTTAAACTTGGTGGCTAAAAGAACGAATGGGGAAAAACTGTTTGTAAACTTCTAAGATATTGTAGTTACCTTTATGGAAAACTACACTAAAAAAATATTCTCCCTGAAAATTGAAATTTTAAAGTTAATTTTAAACTTTTTTTAATTTTAGAAAAAATTTGTTCATTTAGTAAACTCACATTGTAAATATTTTCTTAATTTCTAAAATTTTGAGCAAATAGATTTTTGTGTTTAGGTAAATTATACATTAAATTCAATTCAAATGTAAACTGCAAAAATAAAGCTAATATATTAAAACTATTATTATAGTTCTGTATTAAATATTTCATTTTTTGAATATATGTGTAGTTCCTATAGATCTAAAAAACTTAAATATGCTTTGTATAGATGTTGATTTTGAAATTTAAAGACCCTGGACTGCATAAAAAGCTGTTCCCGCATTTTCACGCACAATTAATTTTTTGACCCAACGCAAGTTCGTTGCTCAAGTCTTTTGTTTTGGCAGCTTTTAATGTAGCGATTTGCGGTTGGAAAAATATGTGAAAAGGCTAATTTTCTCAAATTTCTGTTCCAATCGGACTGTGCGATCTAAGTAGATCTGTTTAAAAGTGAAGCTGTGATGGAAAACCCAAATCAGTTGTCTTCCAAAATTCGCGAAATGTTGAACTCACTGGTGTGGTTTTCACTTTCTCTGATAAGTCTTGCGGTAGCTCAAGGATCGCGTTCCTATCTACCGCCACCCGCGACTGCAGCCATGGAACCTATTATAACCAAACAGTTTTATAGTATTTCACCAGCCGAAGATCCCGAGGATGTGGAGCCAAAGACGAAGCATTTGGTCATAGGAAAACCGCGCAGAAATTACCGAGTGATATTCATAAGAGCTCCTATGGGAAACAGTGATCAAGTGAAATATACGGCGGAGCTGGCGCCCCAGGAGGAGCGAACCGTGATCTATGTTCTGACCCGGAAACAACAGGAACTGGAGGCCACGGATATTGCGGAGCCCCAGGCGAAACCCCAAGCCGAACAGAAGCCAGATGTTTTCTTCATCAAGTACAAGACCAACGATGAGGCTGCCGCTGCCCAAAGGGAAATCCAAGAGCAGTACGATCAACTGGGCGGAAATACCGAAATCTCTGCGCCCTATGTGGCACCCGTTAAATCGGTGATTGGGTCCCTGAGCAGTTCTCAAAATCCAGCAGCACCCCCTTACCAAGCCGCTTACCAAACTGCTTACCAATTGCCGGGATATCACTACGATAGACCCACCTCCACAATCTTGGCGCCAGTTGAACGATCCTACTGAAACGCCGAATATATTCGCACCCCCTTACCAAGCCGCTTACCAAACTGCTTACCAATCGCCGGGATATCACTACGATAGACCCACCTCCACAATCTTGGCGCCAGTTGAACGATCCTACTGAAACGCCAAATACATCCGCACCCCCTTACCAAGCCGCTTACCTAACTGCTTACCTATCGCCGGGATATAACTACGATAGACCCACCTCCACAATCTTGGCGCCAGTTGAACGATCCTACTGAAACGGCGATTATATCCGCAACTCGTTGAATATTCCACGCTATTTGCATATAATTGATCAGTCATTTCCACGAGCGAATTTATCACAAAAACCTGGCGAACGCGTAAATAAAAAATGGTTTTCTTTTTTTTTTTGGTCTTTACTGTATAATTTTTGCCAACTTTTTTATCTGATTTGCGTTTTGTATATAAAGGTATTGGCAAAAGTGCTTTGACCCTGTGGCAAAATAGACGAATTTTAAGGTTTTGCAAACTATATAACAAATAAATATTTTAAATATATAAGTAAAAAAATGTAACATTTAAGAAACAAAATTTTTATAAATATATATCTACAAAATATATATGAATATTTTCTGAATTTCAGGGGCTTTGAAATTTCGTCTAAAATTGATAGTTTGCCAAAATCGAAAAACGAACAATCTGCATAAATTTTGCAAGTCGCAACCGAATAAAGAAACCGCAAAACGGCAATGCAGTTTTTTTTATGATGTGTCTCCTCTTTGGCTCGGCTAGTTAATCTTCTTTTGGATTTATTTGCATTTGCATTTAATTAATGGGATTTCTTAAGCCATTTTTGGGCATCAACTGGGCGACCTTTTTTTGATTGGCAGCAGCAACAATTTGGCAGCAATTAATCTTCAAAAATTTTGCAAACCAAGGTCGAGGCGAAAATTCGAAACTAAAAAGTGAGATTCTAAGTCTGTGGCTGAGCCTTTCCACACCTTTTTTTCTCTCTTTATCTCTCGAGTATTTATCATTCCAAGGTGGCCAACATATATAAATAAATCACACATTGCTTTTTGGCCAAAAGCGTAAACACAAACAATGACCCTACAACGGCCCTGCCCAAAACGCATTCAAATTATGGCAATTATATTGAAATTTTTCATCAACAAAACCGATGAAACACTTGGCCGACGATTTGTGGTTATGGAATTTCTGCTTTTAGCCGTCTTAACTAAAAATAGACCGTGACACAACGCAATCTATGCATATTTACGGATACCCTTTGTTGGGTGTTTAAAAATCAAAGAAAACACACACTAAACGCTGCCAATAAATGTATTAAAATTATGCAGCTCGTCAATAAATAAATATTAAAATAATATAAGTGCCTAGGGTATTTCCTGTTTCGTTTTTTTTTTTGTTGGGGCAATTTAAATCCTTTTCGGCGCTTTGTTTACCATGCCGCCAACGTATCCAAAACTAATGATATAATTTATGGGCTAACAAAGATTTGTCAAAACTCCAAAGATCAAAGCGGAAATTTTATATGAAGCCCAACAATAATTGAAATGCCATTGCAACAACAGCAGACCAACTAGTTTTATGTGGCTAGAAAAAAGAAAACCAATCAAAAATGAGTGTCTTATCAAATGCATAATATTGGATTTAAATTTATAAATAAACAAATACATTTTTGTAAGCAAGAGTATACGGAATTCATACACTTGAGCACAATATGAAATCAATGCCAATAAATTACTGCGCCTGTGGCTCCAAAATAATAATGCTCTTAGTGAAGCTCTTTAATTCCTCCAACATAATTAAGCTCTTGTTAACAATGGCTTAATACGTCAAACTAAAATCCTATGGCGGAAGCAAGTTCTGTTCTAAGAACTAAGCAAAAAAAATCAAGAAAATAAAAAACCAAGAAAAATCACCGGCGAAAAGAAAAGAAACGTACAAAAAAATAACCCAAAGATTCTTCGAGGCATTTGTTTGACCAACAAAGACAGCAAACAAATTGCTTCCATCAATCAAGATACATAGTTAAAGCCATAATTCGAAATGTGAACACATGTTAGATGGGCTTTAACAGGTTGTAAAAGCGAAAGAAAGAGAATTTGTGAAGGAAAATGAAAGCAATGCAAATGAATGTTAAGCTTTTAGATGTTATACAATATAACTTATAATACAATATATAATTATAGTACAATGACATAATGATATAATGCATTTGACCTGAAATATTTGTATTGATCTAAACATTATTTATTGAAAATTACAAGTACAACATTGGCAGAGATATATTTATTTCTGGTTTGTCTGGGATCAATCTACCTATTCCATTACCATCAACCATCAATCAATCACCAGTCAACGAACACATAAAACTGCTACTGAAAGGAAAAAAATATATTTTTTAAAATCGCCAAAATGAGTGATTCTTTAACGATCGTCAATCCCGATTCTCCGCCCGAAGAGAAACTCGATATCGATATCGTCTCCAAGGATCAGGAGGATTTGGCCAAACGGCAGCTAACCTTTGAGCTCTTCTCTCGCTTTCTGGAAAGTACGGACTACGATATGATCGAGAAGCGAGAAATTGATCAAATGATTATCGTGAAGGTGAGAAGTGTACATAGATCTTTCGAATTTAACACTTTTTAATGGGTTCCAATAGCTATTGGAAAGCTTGGACTCAAAGGACGCGGGAGAGCGCGAATTTACAAAGATTCTCTTGCGTCGCATCTACTTTAAGTTTGTCCCATTGCGGCCTTATATACGACATGAGATCAACAACGTGTTCTACAGATTCATTCACGAAACGGAAAACATCAATGGAATGACGGAGCTAATGGAATTTCTTAACGAGTATGTTTATCAAGGAACATTTATCTAACTTGATTCTCTAATTGATTGTTTTTGTTTGACCATCAGAGTATTTCGTAAATGTAATGATCTACCGAACGACGAACAAAAAAACTTGCTGATCAAGATCATTGTACCACTGCACAAAGCCCAATCCCTAATAACATACTTTATTCCTATGATGAAGTGCACTTTACTTTTGCTCCATGGGAACTCAAAAGTTATGGGAGATTATATCAATGGCCTGCTTAAAATCTGGCCCATGGTATCCTCCGAGAAAGAGATGATGTTCCTGGACGAGATCTACAAAATTATGGAAAAGATTGGTAAGGAAGAGTTTGAGCAAATCCAGCTTCCGATGTTCCGCCGGATTGCAAAATGCTTGGCGAGTCCTCATATGTCGGTAAGATTAGCCGGTAGTTGGTACCTTTTCATTTAGAAATCTTCAGTAATTTGTTTTTGATAGGAACCTATCAGAACATTACGCAAAAAATATAAAAAAGGATCCTCAGTTTGTGATAATTGATTCCAAAATACTTAGTATAATATAATAGTTTATGATCTGAAAAGGTTATATTTGGACCCAGAAAGCCATAAAGATCTTCTAATTGAGTGGTTCTAAATATGATATTTTGTAATATTTCAAAACACATAGTATAATATAATAGTTTACGATCTGAAAATGTTATATTTAGATCCAAAAATCCATAAAGATTTTCTAATTGAGTGGTTCTTGGAGACCAGCTTATTTTATATAGATGGCTTAAAGTAATACTTGTCATTCCCAACAATTTAGGTAGCTGAGAGGGCTCTTCGTATGTGGAGCCATCAGAATATCGTAGCACACATTATATCCAACAATGAGGTCATCTTGCCCGTCATGTTTCCGACCCTGTATCAAGTCAGCAAGGAGCACTGGAGTGATGAAGTAAGGGATCTTGTCTATAGCATTACCAAGTTGTTCCTGAAGATGAACGAGAAGCTGTTCAACGAGCTAAACAAAAACTTCAAGTCTGAGCGCGAAAGGTGCGTTCGACAACGTCCTAATTAATGACACATAAAACAATTTCGAATTCTTTCTTTTTTTTAGGGAAAAAGCTTTAGAGCTCGAGCGCGAAGAGCGATGGAACAAGGTTATGGAAATGCAATCCAATCGCTCCCAATGCCTTTCGGTCGACATAGATCTTAATTCAGGATTGGTCGACCATTTAAAGGAATTGGTTATTGACTGAAATTTAGAAAATATGAAAACTTAAATTTCTTTGTTAGAGCAAAAGCTATTTTAATAAATGTATATTACGTTCGCATGTTGATCGCCATTACTCATCTGCTGATTTAAACGAACTGTTTCATTTATGGTAACCAAATAGATATAAGTATAATGCACAAATCTCTACAAAATCAAATCCTTGACTAATCAATACGCTATAGAACAAGAAAAATACCCCTCCAACAGTCACAATCGCGCTTGTCTTTTCAATGCTGATCAAATTAAGTCATAAACACGTTCCTACACTAAGCCACACTTGATAAACCGCAAAAGATCCATCAATCAATCGAGGATTTTATGCAAAATTTTGCATACAACTTTTGAAATTGGAGGGTTGATAATCGCGAAACAATGCGACAAAACGGAAAAAATGCAACCGAATTTCGTGTGTTTGGGGCTTTGGAATTGAAATCGATATTGATATTGATATTGATCCACCTGCGATGAACTTCGTCGACGACCGGCGAATATATATAAGATTGTCTATGATTTATGATCGCCCCGAAAAGAAACAAAACGAGCATCGATGGACAACAGGTCACATTAAAGGAAGCGTGAAAGAGACGGCGTGCTGGAGGTGCGAAAGAGAGGGTCAGACTCACAAGTCAAATGTCAGAGGTTCGGCATAGTCAAATAATTGAGCAATTAATTAAACCGGCGAAGAGAAAAAAATTATAGAAAAATAGTAAGAAGCGGAGGAACCAATATTCGGGGTATAAAAGGCCACAAATCATCTAGGGGAAGCATCATTAAGCCAACAACTGAAAACCACTCAACATGCGTCTATTTGTGGTAAGTTAACAGGAGGATTAACAGCTGGATTAACCAGAGGATTATACAATTTTTTTTTGTGTTTGTGTTTTTTTTTAGACCCTTTGCACTCTGGTGGCTCTTAGCCAGGCCAAGCCCCAGGGCTACAACTATGGAAGCGGAGTCTCCGGTTCCAGCGGTGGTTCCTCTGGCGGCTTCCTGACCGCTCCCAGCCACTCATCGGTGGCATCCTATGGACCGCTGGGTGCCTTCCAGACCGCCAGCGTTGGCTCCTTGGTGGGCAGTTCCTCTGCCCCCCAGGCTGTCAGCCACTATGGTGGTGGTAGTGGAGGCAGCTACTCCACTGGTGGTGGTCATGGAGCCACCTACTCTTCTGGCGGACAAGGAGCCACCTACTCCACTGGTGGACAAGGAGCCACCTACTCCACTGGTGGACAAGGAGCCTCCTACTCGACTGGTGGACAAGGAGCCTCCTACTCGAATGGCGGTGCCTCCAACTATGGTGGCGGCAGCTCCTTCACCGGTTTCGGACCCTCGCCCAACATTGGATTCGGCGTTCTGGCCGGCTACCAGGCACCCACCTACCAGCAGCAGCAGGAGCAGGAGGTCCAGCGTGGCTTCCAGGAGCCCATCATCCACAAGCAGTTCTTCACCGTCGCCGCTCCCGAAGAGCATGAGAATCTGGAGCGTTCCAAGCATCTGGTGATTGGACGCCCGCAGAAGAACTACCGTGTGGTTTTCATCAAGGCCCCATCCTCGAGCAATGCCAATGTCAGGCTGTCCGCCGAATATGCTCCCAAGGAGGAGAAGACCGTCATCTATGTGCTCAGCAAGAAGGACAACCAGCTGGAGGTCAACGATATCGCCACGCCCGCACCCACGGTGCCCAGCAAGCCGGAGGTCTTCTTCATCAAGTACAAGACCGATGCGGAGGCTTCTCATGCCCAGCAGCAGATTCAGGGTGAGTGTTCCACAAGATGAGTCTTTCGATTTGGGGATCAAAACTAATCCGTCCTATCCTTCGCCTGCAGCCGAATACGACAGGATCGAGGGAACCTCGGAGCACCAGGACGGCGGAGTGGCCCCCGCTCAGTCGGTGGTTGGCATCTTGGATGGTGGTGCTATTGGTGCCGCCAGCACTGGCAGCTCTCAATTCGTTTCCGGAGGCACTGGCTCCACCGGCGGCAGCTCCCACTACGTTTCCGGAGGCTCTGGCTCCACTGGTGGCGGTTACACCTCGACCTCGGGCGGCAGCACTGGTGGAATCTCTGGCGGCATCACCGGAGGATCCATCTCCGGCGGCACCATCCTCAAGAACGCCCAGAGTGCCACCTATCTGCCACCCAATGGCAAATAGATGATCACTCGCGTGGACGCATAGCAAGAATTTTACTGTACAGTGATGCAATAGTCAATGGTTTTTTTTTTTTGAAAGCATAAATAAATTTTTAACGACATAGAAGAATATAAATAAATATAGAGATTTAATAAGTGGAGGGAGGTGAACTTGAATTACAAAAAAAAATGATAACAGATAATCTATTGAAGCAACGTCATATCCACAGTTCAACAAGAACCAAAAATGTCTATTAACCCAGTAATTTTATTCAAAAGCAATGGCTTTTCTTGAAATGCATTAATCTACATCAAAAGCACTTAGAAAATCCCAATTAAAATATGAGTCAGGTTTGCCTTTAATTTAATGCAATATAAGACAGGCGAAGTTTTGGCATATAAATGATATCATGCTTTTGGGCATCAAAAAGGAATAATGATCCCTAATCTACACAAAATGAGATTTCAACAAAACACAATCAAATGAAAGCGCTCTAATATTTTGGAAACTGAACTCTCTAAATAACAAAACCAAGTTGAGGGCCAAAAAGCTTTTATAAATCTTAAGAAAAGTTCTTTAGCTGTTGCTCAACTTGGCCAGCCTAAAAGTATGTCACATCTTTATAGACAAGTTCAAGGAAAATACAAAACTGGTATATGTGAAAAATGTATTTACTGTCAGAACCATAGAAAATAAATTCTATAGACGAAAACTAAGATTCAACATTGCTAAGAAAACTAAGTTGCAAAAGGAATAAGATGATATATCAACCTGACTAGGAGCCACATTTAATATTAAAGCTAATCAATCCTAGAACTCACACACTCCGTTGATGGCTCGTTTCAGGAGCAGATCCGACTGGCTCTTGTCCAGGACATCGGTCTCGCGGCAGCTGCGATATAGACTGGTCACCGTGGTCTCCACAGAACCCTCTTGCGAATTGGGCAGCATTGAAATAAAGCGATTCAGTTCATTGAGTTCTGCGAAGAGACAATTATATAAATTAGTATGGGTACCGCAAAGGGTGTGAAGATAAAGCTCAGCTCACCCTGATACTCATTGTAAGTCTCGTAGTTCCACTCGCCGCGTTTGATCACAAAGTAGTCGTGGTTGGCGTAGTCGCTGGCAAAGTTGCCGCAGGCCCACTCGTACGTCTCGTGGCAGGGACTCTTCGAGGTGTTGGCCCAGAGGAGCAGCTGCCGGCTGCTCTCCACGCACTCCTTCTCCAGGCAGAGCGGCGCCCGCAGGTAGAAGGGCACCTCCGGCCAGAAGGCCAGCAGCAGGATGATGATCAGCAGGAGCAGGGCGCACAGGCAGGCGGTGGTCACGTACAGGATGCGCCGCTTGCGCGACAGGCTCATCAGCGCGTCGAAGGATCGTCGGCCTGGAAGCAGCAAGGCTATCATCGGGCAAAGCCAAGGATATGGAAGACATGTGTTAATGAAATGAGGATGGAAGTCAAAAACATATATGGATGGTGTCTTAAAAATCACTGGTGTTTTGAAACCCCATATATATATAATATTTTTGTCTAAAAGTATGCAACAGTATATTTTAAACTTACAAGTGCAGTGAATTTATTCAGAAAGAAGACTATCTTTTTATTCACTGCATACTTTTAGATATTTAAAATTAAATCTAAATTCAAGAGTGATTTCAGAACACGACAGGGTCTTATCTTTTTTTGTAACACCTATTACAAAGAATTTACTATCAATACTGATTCCCAAAATATTTTACCATTTGAGTTTTTATTTTTATCCGATTTAATATAATGTTAGATGTCTTTTTAGAAAATTAAAATATTATTAGTTAAATTAGAGATCAATATATGTGAATTTAACCTTTTAGAAACTCAATTTTATAAAGTTGGTTCCAATCATTTAATATTTTTTAAAAGCACTTGTCTACAAAAAATCTAAACAAAAGTTTTGGACCATTTAAAATAATTTTTGTAACCCGTTTAGTTTTTATAACCAATTTTGCAATCTTAATAAAAATAAAGAAAAATAACAAAGTTTTAGAAACTCATTGTAAAAAGTTGGTTCCAACCATATAATATTTTTTAAAAACTCTTGTATACAAAAAATCTAAACAAAAGTTTTGACCATTTGAAATAATTATTCTAACCAATTTGTTTTTTATAATCAAATAAGTAATCTTAAAAAAATAAAAGAAAATATAAAAAAATAACAACAATTTAAACCAACATTTTATCTATATTCCGTCTACGAATTTAATGACTTTGAATGGTAAGTTAATGGGATATGCTTTCGAGGACCGATTCTCACCTCTCAGTCCATTGGCCGAGGGATGTGTGGAATTGGGCGTGATTGCTGCCGGTGCTCTGCCGCCGGCTCCTCCGCCGACTTCGTTGAGGGCATCCTGGCGGGCCGCCTCCAGATCCTTGGGCGTCAGATGGGAGCCGTCGTCCATGTGCAGCTTCTGCTGATTGGTGGTCAGCGGAGCAGTCTCGCTGCCCTCGATCTGCTGCAGCTGCTGCTTGCCACCGATCTCGTCCTGGCTGTTGTGCAGCTTGAAACTGCGGTCGTCCACCTCGTCGATGGCGCAGATCGTCGGTTTGTACTTGCCCTGATTGATGGCCATTGCGCGGATGGATGTTTCCCTCCTCCGATCCTCGGTTTTTTCCCCAGCTGAGTTAGATCGCCTCTCGTGGCTCTCGCGTCGTTTCTTCTCGTTTCCCCCCTCAATTCAGGTGATTCGGCATTTTAAATCAGTTCTTAAATAGCTCTGCAAGTAAAGAAGACAAGGAAATCGTTAAGAATTTTCCCAAAACGTACAAATACACGGAATTCCAGGCGGCTTAAGCGTCTTGTTAATCAAAAGATTACCTTGAGACATGATATACGGTGATATACCTATACGCTCGTATCCCATAGACCCATACACCCAACCACCCATCTACCCCTGGCAATAAAGAAACCTTTCGCTATGTGGAGCATCGGAGATAAGTGAAAATTGCCCTGAGATAGCAGGCTCAAGTGCCTCGCAGATCCACAGCTACGGTCAGAAAAATGGCACTTGGTTTTTGTTAAAAAATATATATTCTTTTTAAAACCAATCTAATTGACTTCTTAGAATTTTCTATTTAATTAGTATTATAGTTATGGTTTTTATTTATTTTCAGGGAATTTTTTAATATTTAAAATATTTATGTGCTTCCAAAATCAATTTTGTAAATCAGGATTTTCATTATAATATGTAACCTGTTATATTAAAACAATTATATTAAACATGATAGGCGGTACCTAAAATAATACCTTTTTTAAACCACCTCAACTGTATAAAAAGCGTGTGAGTGGACAAGATCAGCGGCTATATATGTACATAGTTGCCACACATATATGTTGCATGCATTCTTGTTCAACATTTGACTTCTTTTCAATTTTAAATTGACAACAATTGCTGGCAATTTGCACTGGCTAAAGTCTTCGACTGGCGAAAATATATATCCGAATATGTGGGAGTGAGACTTCCAAAAGAAAGGGAAAGAGACAGAAAGTCAGTTGTCTGCGGCTTTATTTAGCGACATGCATAAATTTCTATTGAGCGCCGTGCAAATAATTAAAAATGCAGCGACATCTCAGTGGTTTCAAAAAAAACTAAAACTAGGTTAATTGCTAATTGCATGAAAAATCTGTCTGCCAATGTATTTAGGTTTTTTAGTATTCTCTAAGTAATAAATATATTAGACAGTTCAGTCTTAAAACGGGGATCCCTACACAAAAATAACTGACTAATATTTATACTTTAATATTTCGTTTTTAAAGCAAACAAGCAATTATTCCATTTATAACCCCTTCCAAATAATAATTAAACTAAAATATTATGCTCATACTGCATCCAAGAGAAATGCTTTGGTTAGGTTTATTTCATTCCGATTTGTTCTTCTACCGTCCGCAAGTGAAGAGGACCGTCAACTTCAACATCATAAACTAGAAACTTGAAACATTTGTAGTTAGAAAAACAAGCGAAAGAAATCGGTCACTTTTTTCTTGCACATGGGACAGATGTTGAAGGGCTGCAGAAAATAGATCAGGCACTCCTCGCAAAAGATGTGGCCACACTGGGTGGTCACCGGGTCCTTGAGCGGTTCGAGACAGACAGGACACATGTATAGATGACGGTTCTGCTCGGCCAGTTGCCTGATGGCTGGGTCAATCTCCACGGTCAAGTCGATGATCGCTCTGGGCTTCATTCCGTCGGCTGCTCGACGTGTTCCCTCCGTTTTAATGGGCTTCCACCTTTTGTAGGCTCGCATCGATGGTAACATTTCTCTTTACGTTTATTATTAGTAACTGCTTTGTAGACTAAAACACGCTGTTCGTATATGAACGTATAGTTCGGAAGTAGAACTCAGGGGTAACTCAAAGTTGAAAGTATTCTGTTCGATTTTAAATACCTGACATTTCAAAACGGCCAACCATGTTTTTTGCTTATTTTTAATGTGCACTAGATTTTTAAAGATTTATCTTCAGACCTATTTCGACAATATTACCACTCTTTTACCAAATATCCACTTAAGAAAGGTCACAATATAACTATTGTATCTTGCAGACGGAAGACACGATTTACACTAATCTTCTGTCTTCACATGTAGGATTATAATAAAAATAATGGATTTTATTTAGCCAAAGATGACCGCATAATAGCATATGTTAGGTCTTAAAGTATATATTTCAGGCAAAGGGCCAGATGGAAAAAAATACCATTATATTTTCCCCAAAAAGCTCACTAGTTTTAAAGTGGGGCCAATTAATCAACAAATAAGTATTGATTCCCATTCTTAATCACTAAAAATATCACTAAAAATACAGTTTACTTGGTTTCTGACCCTTTTGTTTTATAGTTTACATTGTAAATAGTTTACATTGTAACTGCCCGCAGGCCTATTTGCACCATCGCTGGCCTGGGGTTTTTCTTCTAGTGCGGCTGCCAAAAGCGAGAGAGATCGCCCTGGATTGGGTATTATCGGGAACGTGGACAGGCCAGCAGACCCTGGTTCGGCTTGGTCTTTCCTACTCAAGCTGTGCGGGAATTGTAACATTTGTGTTGTTTATTGCAAAGTTACAGATTTTAAATAGTAATCGTAATTTATCCGGAGTGATTTTGGGGACTGTGGAGGTGGCTTCATTGCAATAAAGATTCTTCAGCAGGAAGTTCAAAGGGTGCGTTTAGGGCTAAAACCTCAGATAGGGCTTGTATTTGGCCATGTATTTGTCCAAAGTATCCCAGAATTGGCTGAGCACTGCCCGATCCATATGCCGCTTGTGTTGCGAGAGTTGCAGCACTGTCACAGACCAACGCTCCACATTGGAGTCCAATTTCAGCTCGCTAAAGCACAAGTGAAAGGCGCAAATCTTTGAAAATATCTCGACGGGATTTCCGTCCCAGGGCCAGCCCTTAAACTGCCACTGTGGTCCCATTACGAAGACGGCCACCACCCTCTGCCAATCCTGTTGCGAGAGCTTAATAGGATTGTCTGTCACCCGGTAAGACACAGTCTGATTGTTCCGTGTTCGCTGTAACAGCACTTCGATGTCGCGCTTGCAGCCCTGAAGTTTTTTCTCAGCGGTGGACATGAAGCGCAACTCCTGCAGGATGTTCTTCACGTTGAGCATGGTGATGAGGCTTGTGTTGCCAGACGGTATGATGATGATGGGGGTCCGTGAGGGTCGCATCGATGGTCCGTTGGCGGGCAATTCCCGGGCCTGGGCCGTGGGCAGCAGCTCCTTGGGCCCGCCGGCAGGTGCTTCTGGCATTCCACCAGGTGTCCCCGGCAGATAGTTCTCCTGCGCCTCCTTCACGGATTTCAGCGACATGCCGTGGTACGTTCCGAGCGTGTTGATCTTGAAGCCCTCGGTCTCCTCCTTTTGCCGATTGAATCGCTCCTGATCGTAACGATTGTAGTGCGAGAGCTGCCACAGCGGCTTGGCTATTCTCGCCGGTTCTGGCATCTTGATGGGATTGGGCGCCAACGGACGATTGCGTCCCTCCTCGCGCGCCTTGATGCCCTGCAGCATGGCGAAGATGTCCTTGGCAAAGATCTTGCCCGTGCTCTGTAGTATAGAGGTTCTTGTGCGCCACTGCCGCTCTTTGCTAATGATGTCCTTGGTGGAATGCACATCGTAGTCCAGGATGGCACGCAGGTCCGTGCCCATGGTCTCGTCATTGTCCGTCCATTTGATGGTCGTTCGCTTGTTGGCCAGACGCTTGGCCTTGATGGCGGCAATCTTCTCCACGGACATCGTCTCGGAAAGCGACTTGATGTTGTCCATGTTGACGGCGGTCTCCTTCTGGTTGACATCCCAGCGAGCGGCCAGTTGCTCGCGCACCTTCTGCACCTGCGTCTCCTCAAAGCGGGCCCTCTTGGCGGCCACCTCCACGCTGGATGGTTCGCCCTGGGCGGCCCGCTTCACCTGGATGGGGATCTCCAGCGGAGCACTCTTGTCGATGCTGGCACAGGTCGGGGTCTCGCCATTGAGGTAGGCCAACAGTTCCTTACGATCCGGTCGATTCACGGCGGGTATGTCCTCAGCGGCACACTGGCGCACATACACGGAGTGCTGCATCATCACATTCTTGAGCAGGTACACCAGGCACTCCAGCGTGTAGTACTCACGTGGAGCGCCCCTCATGCCGGAGCCATATTTCATATAGTTGGTCTTCACGCTCTTCGGCCAGGAGAACTCGCCGAAGATGATCTGGCTGTCGCGCTCGACAATCTTCTTTTTGTTTACGTTGTACTGCCGTAGCAGGCTGAGCGGATCCGCCATCTTCACGCCGGTTTTCTCAGTGTCCTTGGGCCGCGAAAGTGGGTTGTGATTTTTTTAGGAAGTGGGTTGTGGATTCTCCCTTTTTATGGGATATTTTTCGAGTAGTTCTTTTTGACAGAGGTTGCGTGGAGTGTGACCGTTGCCGGGGGGGGGGGATTAATATAACATTGTATTATTTAAAACTATTTTACTGCTTTTCGGTAGCCCTAAATTGGGTCTATCAATAGACCTGCTACGAACTTCAAATGGGATCCATTTGTAATGTAGGCCGCTTTAGTTTCGCTTCGACGACCGCCAGAGGGCGTCACTTGCCTTTGTCTCGCTGTGGTTATGCTAGACTTGAAATAGTTTTCCAGCTTTTGTTTGCCCTGTGAAATCGTATAGCATTTTTGTCATTTAATCCGCGAGGAAAGCAGACAATTCACCCACACAAAAACCGGGAAGGCGGCAGGTTAATTATGAAACTGCAATGCATGCGAGAGTTTATGAAGCGCAATTTGACCACTTTTCATAACAATATTATGTAGTGGTATTAGCAAAGCCATTGGAAAAATTCGCCGGACATTACTACTTTGTGAATCACAAATTAAATTTAATTAAAAGAACCCTTAGCGCATTGGCATTTTAAAATGCCCGATATTCAATCAAGATTCCGTTTCGGAAGCCCCTGCAAATCGTTAGAGCCCCAAAATAGCGATAAGTTGTGGTCAGTTATGGGGATTTGGCTGGAAAAGAAAATAAGCGAAATACAAACGGAAAAAGACCAATGGAAACAGCTAGTAGGGTATCTTATCGAGCTGAGATTATTGCCAAATACATTGCTCAGTTCTAGGCCCTGCTACTAAGGCCTTCCCCTCGTTTTTGTACTCCTGATAAGTCTCACTTTTATGTATTTCACGGTTAGCTTAAATCAATTTTGTAATATGCAGCAAGATTAGTTTTGTAGATTGCCTAAGTGTTTAATTAAAAAAAATAAATATGCTTCTTTTGGGGCGAAAAATTCGGTAACCCATAAACAATTATCTTCGCACTGTATATCTCAGACTTTATCTGTCTAGCCCCTCTATATAGCCACTCGAGAAACTGAAGGTTGCGGGGGAATGGGTGTTAGTTACTCGACTATCTCAGGTTGTTGAGTAATGCTGAGGGAACACTTAACCCCACACTTCTAGAGAGCCATATCAAGCGATAAGATCTTCTAAAGAAGTCACATAAAGATAAACGTGGATGACACACTAAAGTGAGAGGGGCTAAGATTTAAAAGCTCCATCGACTAAGTTTTCATAAGCGTACAAAAAAAATTTTTTTTTTATAATGGTAGAACTTTTATATCAATTTAAAGATTTAAAGAGGTACTTTCCTAGGTTCTACACCTACGCTTAAAACATTGTTTGAAAAATAAGTATATTCTAAATCCCTGTTTTCCTGCATATTTTCCTTAATTCCTTATTTTAAAAAATTTCAAAATAACGAATATTTTCTACAAACTTGGACAACATAAAATGAGAAAAAACTGGTTAAAAGTGTCATATTGGTTAAATTTGCATTTTTTCTGATAAAAGGAAATTTCGAACTATAGAAATGGATTCTATATTGTCTATAGGAACTGTCATAAGAAGATTTAAGGATATTTTAAAGGAATATAATTTTTTTGTTTTGCAAATATTCTCATCAGTTAACAAATTAATTTACTCACATAGTGTTTATAACTTTCTTATCCGCATCTTTTATCGAATTTTCTGTTTTCACTTTCAACCCTCTCATGTTCTTCAGCCTTTTTTCCCTTTTTTTCTTTGCAAAATGAGTTGTCGCTTCTCGGATTTAATGGGGCACTTTTGCGGCTCAAAGAACTTCTGCCGCTGTGGCGAATTTTCAGAAAGAACAATCTATTGGGGCCACACGCTCCACATGAGCAGCAGTAATAATACAAGCGCCAAAAACAGAGCTCCATTTCATCGGTCTTTATCGAGTTGCAATTGCTTTGATTTCGGTTCTTTCTAAAGACTGATTTATGCTTATTTGGCTGGATTCGATTAAGCTTTCGGGGAGGGGGTTGATTATAAAGTGGACTGAAGATGAAACTGAAACTGAAACTCAAGCAGAGTTTATCTCAGCCACTAGACAATATTAAGAAGCTGCGGCGTCATTTAGTTTGGGGTGGATTCTCGATTATTATTCTTATTCTCGGGCGAAGCGCAATTGAAAGTTGAGACGCAGTTCGATTGGGGATGGAGATAATAACAAGTGAAGAGGTGTGGGAAACTCCCTGGGAGTCGCAGATAAACTGACTTTGATAAAAACCAAGACCTAAGGGAAAAGAGATCAATGAAAGAGCCAGTCAGCAGGTTTTCTTTTTGAAAAAATAACAATCCAGTTTCTTTCCCAAAGTATTTTTACTTTAAAGCCATGAAACACGTCTAAAATGATATTGTTATTTTTTCCTCGTTTCAAATGAAGACATAATTCATTATTGTCTTCATTATTCGTCTTAATATTTCCGCTCCCCCGCCTTCGAAAAAAATCGGTGTTTTCTTTGTGGGACCAAAAAGAGACTTTGACTTTCCCCGCCTATTTATTTCCTTTCCAGTTCGAGTTACCATATTTGAACATGCCGCGCATAAATCACAAACGACCATATAAATCTCCACAGATAACCAACAGAAAAGTAGAGGGGTGTCCATAAATTTACTGACCAATTTTGACAGGCATTACAAAATAATACTGGGTATTAAAAAATCGTACTTTTCGCCTTATTCTGACAATTTTGACGCACGCTAAACAGATATTAGCCATTCCAAATAATACAGGGAATTAGGAAATCACTTTGACTTTGCGGCTAATTGAGCGTGGCGTATTTTGACAGCGATTTGCCCACCTGTCCTACTTAACTACCTTATTCTTTTTGTTCACCCACCTATTGACATTTAATTTGAGTTAATGGCACGCCGAACGTCGCTTGTATTATCAAAAGTGTTGATTGGGCAGCTTTGGGTGCGATGATAACCTTGTCGCACCCCCGAGAACACCGCACAGCCAACCCATCCACCGCAATCAGTTGTTAAATGTGTCAACAATTTGTCGTTAACTAGTGGAAGTCACTAAAAGTCGACAAATTGAGAACTGCAGAATGTGAATGTTTGCTTATGCAACTTCGCTTTCGAACGAACAAACACTCCAAACATGAAACCGTAATTAGTTGAGCTGGCAGAGAACATTCTGAGGTTTATTACACATTTATTTACAGTGTACATATTTTGAATGAAAAATAATACAAGTTTTTAGTGATAAACATATTTTTTTACTCTTTAAAATAATATATAAAATATTCTTTATAAGAAATGTGATGTTTATTTTTCTTGAGGAATTCTGAAAAAGTGAAAAAACAAACTATGGAAATATCTTATCCATAAAGATGCTTAGGGACATAAATATTTGTTAACTGCTTATAAAAACAAAGATAACGTATTCCTTTATTCAATTTTTTGTTTCATTTTCGCGAGGAATTTTACTTTAAAAACTGAAATACTTTAGGTTAACTATGGATATATCCCATTTATAAGAAGGTTTGAATTAATTTTAAAAGTTCTGTAGACTGACAAATCCGTTACCTTTCATATTCCATTTTTCACGTATGTAAACCATTCAAGTTGAGCTATCTCTTGTGATCTTAACCCCGTATGCAAAACCCACTCGAGCGCAAAGTTGAAACCGTGAAACGTTTAACGGAAAAAGGTGCGGTTAAGGTTAGCTTTTCGAGTGTTTTATTTTTTGTTCGATGGACAAAAAAGTGCGTAACTAGTGACGAAGACAATGGAAAAGTGACGAATGCGGGCGGAGGTAAAAAAAGGTAGAAAACAAAAACAGACGGGGGCGTTTTGGGGATTTAGTAGGCCCGATTTTGTGCGTGAGCTGTACAATGGGTCATACAACGAGTAAAAAACAGCGGGTTCACTTTTGCACATGCTCGAAATGCAGTTCATAACGGTAATCCCAAAATACGAGGGACGAAACGGAAGTAGCTTTAAAAAGAAAGATAAGTACCAGAAAAAATCAGGAACTTTGTCGGGGGAAAAGGTAACAGGAAGCACTTTAAGTATCATAATTATCTACATTATGGTCAAATGGTTAAAGAACCAACAAGCTTGAGTTCCTTCAACAAGTTTCATTGTGCTTTTCCTTTATAATCTTCTGAATTCCAATAAATCTTAGCTATTGTATAGATAAAAACTGTTTTTTTGTATTACTGATCATAAATTTGTTTGGTTTATAGACGTCATTCTTAAATAATGCATTTCCAACAATACGTTCATATCTCTTGTTTGAAAACTCGGGGAAAAATGTAATGTTCTGATTGACTAGTTTTACGTATTTTCGCCACACCTTTACAAAAACGAAATAATCCGCAATCAGGCGTTAAGATCTTATAGATTCCTGCCCAAGATCAAGGTTATTTACGGCTTTTTTTCAATGTCACCGGCTCATTATCTCTCTTAATTATGATTTGTTGTTGTTTTCGGGACGTGCTGCATTTCTCCTCTGCCGACGTCGACTGCGACGGCGACGTCGCCGCTCTTACGCATTAATTACGGGAATTTTTGGAAAGGAAAATAATAATAAAAGAACTGACACGCAGGCGCATTTGCAGCGAAAGAGAGGGGAAGGAGGAGAAGGAAAAAGAGAGAGCGACGCGACACAGAATTGATGTTATTGCTGTTTATGGGTTTACACGAAAAGAGATCGCGATCAGCTAGCGATCGAAATGTATGTGATCGTAAATTACTATTCAATATGTGCCATAGGTAATTCCAAAAAGGGTGTTGAATTCTAAATCTATAAAAGAATATTTACCAAAACTTGTCTGAAAACCTGATCGAATGTTCAACATTCTAACTATGTGGAGGTTTTAAAAACTTTGCTATAACGTAAGTATATTAAAATCACCCAACAAGTTTATTCAAATCACGTTCTGTCGTAAACGAGGTGACACAATTCCTGATCGTAATACCGATCGACGTAAGAACGAAGTATCTGATCGGTTTTTTTTTTGTATTATTTTTATTTTCTTTTTGTTTTTGCTTTGGCCACTTGCTAAACCGGTTCTGCCGGCATTTCATGCACACACACTGCGACACTTTTCCACCTTCGAGCAGCAACAACAACAACAAAAACGGTGGCTTGAAGTGCGCTTACATTTACTCTCACCCATCCACACACACACACATATATATCCGCGATGGGAAATTCCTTTAAAGAAGTTGGAAAACCACTGGATTTTACCTTTTTGTTTATAGCTCATTTGGCATTCCGAAATTTTAGCATATTCTTATTTATTCGCAGAAACACACACTCGAAAAAAATAACGAAGAAACAGCACTTAAACGCGCAATTTTTGGAGAATTGCTTTGAATTTTTACGCGCTCAGCAGCAACAACAACCGAATAAACCGCTATGTTCGGCTTCTCAATGAAAACAGGGTTGTACTTGTTTTATATTAGTGCGCAATAGTATTTTTATTTTTTTTTAGAACCAAACATACCATTTCGCGGTGTTTTGCGCGGCGATTTAATGATTTCTTATTTTTCAAAACGGCGAACGACAAAATCAAATCTTATCATGAAGAAGAAGACTGCATAAGTGAAATAAAGTAGACGGTATTCTTGGAAAATCCAAGTACTTGATGTTTGCCACGGTATTTTGCAACTGCTGTTTTCTGGTCGCACTCTGATTTAAATTTTGGGACATTTCGGTTTATCGATAACGATAAAAATACCGTTTGAAAATAATACCATTTATATACCAAATACAAAATTGAATTCCTTTTATTTTTTAATCGGGCTAAAATGTAAAAATACCTATCAATAAGTACTTCCTGTTTCTTTGCTGGCCTCCGTTGCCTTGTAGCAGTCATATCCAAATCATTAGTCGCTATTATTTTAATGAGATGAGGCTACTTCTTTAGAATTTTCGGTAATATACGGCGTTGCCAGGTCGACCTTGTTATTGAAGCTTGAAATTTCGTGATCGGGGCTCCAATATACTGGGATCCTAAAAGATTTTAAGTGATTGTAAGTCGTGAGGACTTTTGAAAAATAATTTATCAAAATTGTTGGTCTCGGTTAACAATAAGAGTATTATCTCCATTGTATAATACATTTTTAATAATTTAGATATGAAAGTAAATCAGTTCCACCTAAAATATTGAACACATATTGCGTCGAACTGAACTGCGTGTTATTTCTGTCATTCTGGATGGTACCCTTTGGGAAATATGTCAAATTAGGTGAACAAATTTCAAGAGCCTCTCCAAATTCGCTGTAATTTCCCCTTTTGGATCCCATAGCCCAAATGAACTGACCACCCCGGCAACCATCGATAGGCGGACATCAAGAAATATCGATAGCGCGCCGCATGCAACCGTGAAAGTGGAGGCGGCGTTTCGTTGTTGTGTCAAAACAATAAGCGACCAGCAGAATTTCAGCACACCCATCGGCCAGCGAAGATAAAGCTAGCAGAGATTAGGACCCACTCCAACCGCCACACAGTCAGAACCCAGAGCCCAGACACGATCCCAAACAGAGATCCTCCCAGGGAGAAGAGAGGCAGCGGCAATGAAAATCACGGTGACCACCAGCGATGACAAGGTCTTCTGCTTGGACGTGGCCCAGGATCTGGAGCTGGAGAACCTGAAGGCCCTCTGCGCGATGGAGATCGGTGCGGAGGTGGCCCAGATAGTGGTCATCTTCAATGGGCGCGAGCTTTCCAGCGACAAACAGACGCTGCAGCAGTGCGGCGTCGGCGACGGCGACTTCATAATGCTGGAACGCCGCAGGAGCGCCACTCGGTCAGGTGAGAGAGCGTTGGAAGCGGCACTGGATGTGGGTGGAAGGCGGACGGGGGAGCGGGGGAGCCATTAACCCTTAAGTGGGTCACGCCGGGCGTGGGCAGGGGCGGATCTGTTTTGGGCGGGGTAAAGGGGTGATTATGTTAACCTGATTATGGGTTGCACATTAGAGTAATTTCCCTTTCAATTACATGCCTAAAAAGTAAACCCAGATTATTAATTCAATTCGTTTGCATTGATTTTACCATACTTGTGTTGATGATATTCCATTTAAAAGTTCGCATACATACATATATAATTTTTTGCATTTTGTTGTCATATTTCAAACATGCATATGTAGAAAGCTAAAAACTTTTCGCGGTGTGGTGAAATTTGAACTGTGAATCCAGCTCACATATTACTCTTTTTTTTTGTTTTTTATTTTTTTGCATTTTTTAGTTGTTTGGAAAAGCGCACATCGCATCTTTTTGCGGCGCAGTTGGTGTTAAAAATAAACGCCTTGTTTTGCCCGCCTTTCTTTTTGCAAATTCCAAAATAACACAGAGACACACAAACGCAAGACGGCGGCACTGGAAGTGGAAGTCGCTTATCGGTTTCCATTGCAGCGGCGGTGGAAGGGAGAGGCAGCGAGGCGATGGAATTGGCAATGGAAGTGGAGGAGCAGCAGCAGGTGCTCTGCCACCGCCTCACGGAGAGAGATCCACCCACCCCCCATCCCTCTTGCCCCGCCCACTTTGGCCGCCTGCTTGTTTGCTTTGTTGTTTTGTTGTTCTGTTGACCCCTGCATGCGCATTTGGCCTTGTCAGTTTGTCCATTGGAATGGGATCGTGATATAGAAATGGTGTGTACACACATACATACGTACATACGTGCGTTTTTGCGACTGCAGACAGGTGTGGGCGGTGAACAATTTTCGATGTGATTTTACCATTGCACAGCACAAGTCATGTATGTACGAATGTGTATTCCACACTTTGGACTCCATAAGACACAGTTCTAAATATAAATATAAAATCCAATATGCTATGAGATAGGAATCTAACTACTTTGCTGCCAAAATAAACATGTACTTAGACACTACAGCTCAATAATTCTATTGGTTAATACCTATGTACTATGTTGTTTATAATATATCCAATCTTAAACTTATCAACCTCGTATGACCTGTTCCATCTAAAGCCAGTCATTACACATTTAGTTTTAAGACTATCTTAACACAAGTCTTTATTCATCGTATTTATTTTTAAATTTCTGAAATCGTATGACCGGAATGTTCTGTTTAAATGTTCTACTTTCTATTGTTGTTTAAGATAATGCAGTGTAGCTTGCTCCCTCTTTTTCACATTGTAAGACTTTGCTTTCGTTTTATTTAGATTATTTATTTTGCTATTCTGACGCCACAAGTATAATACTTTGTAAATACATTGTTAGGCATATACTTTTTTTAATATATCTAAACAAACAAGATGGATTATACATTAATTTTTGTAGCACTGGGTTGGCTTTTTATATAAGACTGGCTGAAACAAGCTAACTTTCATGTCTAGCCTTTCAATTACTTTATTTTTCCTAAGAAACCTAAAGATTCGGTTGAAATTGTAGCCAAAAATCAAGAAAATACATTCAATTTCAATCCCTGCATTATTTTCAGGTGGCGGGAATCCTGCGATCAGCACACTGGACTTCAGCAGCATCGCAGTGCCGGGCTCGAGTTCCGGCGGCAGTCCACCTTCGAGGAGTGCTCAGGGACAACTGGGGATGCAGCAGCAGCAGCAGTTCAACAACATCACAGACATCCCCCCGACCGATGAGTTCAATGTGAACTTCGACGATGACCCGGCGACCGTGCGCCAGATGTTCCTGTCCAGTCCAGAGACGCTGTCGCTCCTCCGGCAGTACAATCCCCGTCTGGCCGAGGCCCTCGACTCTGGCGACCAGGAGACGTTCGCCCGACTCCTCCGCGAGCACGTTACGGAGCGAAAGCGACGCAACGAGCACCGCATGCGCATGCTTAACGCCGATCCCTTCGACGAGGAGACGCAACGCCTGATTGCCGAGGAGATCAAGCAGAAGAATATTCAGGATAACATGGCGGCGGCCATTGAATACAATCCAGAGATCTTCGGCACGGTCACCATGCTGTAAGTATTGGGAGAAAGTAATGAAACTGAAAGAAATATTTCGTATCTTCATGTATTGAAACTCTATTGTATTGAATTGCATATGCATACCACATCTAAACGCAGGAATAGTTATATTTCCATTAATTTGAGCCTTGAATTCATAATGGCACAAAGCTTGTAATCACACAATCACACAATCACAGTTTCAAGGTTTTTTCCGCATTCCCTTTGGCCATTTCTTAATACATAAATCATTAAAAGTAAAGCCATCGGAATATGCTACATTTTTAAATGTACTTTATCATCCGTAGTTATATCAACTGCAAGGTGAATGGAATACCAGTGAAGGCCTTTGTGGACTCGGGCGCCCAGACGACGATCATGAGCAAGGACTGCGCCGAACGCTGCCACGTCAACCGGCTGATAGACACGCGTTGGAACGGCGTGGCCAAGGGTGTGGGAACACAGCCAATTCTGGGAAGGATTCACATGGTGCAGCTGCAGATCGAGAACGATCACCTAACGTCCAGCTTCACGGTGCTGGGCCAGCAGCCCATGGACATGCTGCTGGGTCTGGACATGCTGAAGCGCCATCAGGTAGAGCAGTCTGGTCTAGATTTGGCTTAAACGGGGCAATTAACTAACTAGCTATCCCTTGCAGTGCCTAATTGACTTGCAGCGGAATCTGTTGATTATCGGCACGACCGGAACAACGACGCCGTTTCTGCCGGAGAGCGAGCTGCCGGTCAGCGCTCGGCTCACAGGAAACTCGGAGGAATCGATGGAGCAGGAGGCCATTGCCAATGCCATCGAGCAGAGCAAGCGCGAGGGCGGCGGCAGCGAAATGGGGGCTGGCGGAGGACCCAACACGATCCAGCCGCTGGACCGCTTCACCGAACAGGACGTCACCGATCTCATGGCCCTGGGCTATCCGCGCAGCGATGTGCTCACCGTGCTGCGGCTTTGCGGCGGCAACAAGCAGGCGGCCAGCTCTGTGCTGCTCAACCGCAATGCCGCCGCCTCGGGGGCAGGACTTAGCTGAACGCGGCTAGATCCCTAGTACACACCACCTCAAGCCGAACTCCCCACAGCCAGAAACAGGATTGCAATAGGATGATGAGCATACAGGACACCACCAACTGGGTGCGCCGTTCCAACAAAATACTCCGAGCAATACCAAAAATAAGCCACACGCCACATATATAAAGTCAAGTAGGATGCAGAATACACACACACAACAACAACAGCAACAACAAATAAGCAATGAAACCAGAAACGAAAACCTTTCTAATTTAGTGAAATTTTTATAAACCGAAGCCACTTTTTTATACGAATCGTTTGTTACGATGTACAATATCTAATTAGGGTGCTTTTCCAGCACCGGATCATTTTTAAAACAGAGCCAGGGGTTGGTTTTTTCTAGAAAATATTGAGAGGAATAGTAGGCGATTTAATCTAAACAAGTAAGACAAAAGTAAAGATAACGAATGTAATAGATGGATAACTGGAAGGTGATGGAACCAAGCCGCATCAACGAAAACATTAAATATGTTAAACAGATAATACAAACTAAAAACGGAAATAAGTACGCCTGACTATTCAAATATATTACAATTATACACATATAAACATTATATACAATTTGAACTAGTATTAAGGCTCTGTCAAGCTAAACTGAATTGGGTCAATAAAAGGTCGAGAGTATTGTTTTGGATTTGAAAAGGAAAGAAAAGTAAAATCAGCGCATTTTGATTTGTCTTCTCGGGCACTTCGCTGTTTTCTCTTTGTAAATCTTTAATAGCATTCGTTATGTTATGTATATAAATTATAAAATTACAACTTCTGGTCTGCTGAAGGCTCCAAAGGTTCCACACGCGGTTTCTACCGTACACAGGCATACACATGGCGCATATGTCTGGATTTATTTTTGCAAAAGCCGTTTAATCATTTGTTACAGTTGCTATAGGTTGTGTCTGATGCTGTGGCTACGCTAATCCTCGTCCTCCTCCTCATCCTCATCGTTCGTACGACCCGCTGATGCGCCCTTGTGGTTGAATTCCTTTTCCGGATCAAACTGCATGCCCTCCTGGTCGGCGCCATCCTCCTCGTCGTCGTCGCCCGCCACCTGGGCGTTCTCGGCCTCAGCCCGCTCCAGGCGTCGGGCCAGATCCGCCTCGTCGATGGCGGTGACCAGCTTGGGCGCCATGATCACCTTGAACTCGCCCTCGTACTCGATGATCTTGGCGCGTATGTTCTCGATGGCCACTTCCAGGGCTTTCAGGCCGTCTGTCTTCTTTGTGGTGGACGTGGTCATCACATACCTGAAAGGATTAATAAGAACAATTATTGTATTTTCGGTCAATTTACTCATTTTATAACAGAAATAGAAATACTATACATTTCACAATTAATTTGACCAAATTATATGAAAAAGTACAAATGGCCTATTTGCTTAGAAGCGAAAGCTGTGCAATTTGAACTCTAAATTGAGAAATTAATTCTTAATTTCGGCAAATTTCGAATTCTTGCTATTTGTTTTCTTTATAAACAATGCTTAAACAGATATTATTGACTTCTAGCGGATCAGTTGTTCATAAAATTCAACTAATTTATGCAAGAAGCCACATCTACAAATTTATAGAAACAATTCACACCTATGGAAAGTATCGAAGTCCATGTCAAAAGGTTTATATCTGATGTAGTTATATCATTATACATTAAAACAGCCGAAATTCCCAAAAATACTGAGGGAGCTATTCTCTGTCAGTACCTTAGCTTAAGTATTCAATCGTAAGATGAGTTTTATGTCATCTTTAATTAAAGGTTTACAATCTTGTACAACCGTTTCCTAGTTCAGTATGAGAATTTTAATAATTCTAGCGAAACTGGTTTAATTACATCATATTAACCTAACATAACTCCAATGTATCTTTACGAATATGATTTCGTCTAAATTGGAGCAATACAAACTATTTAGTTTTCCAAATGTAGCCTCTTGGAAGGAGCCATTTGACAATTTTAACTAGAAATCTGTTTCTAAGAACCCCAGTGCTTAAAATTGCCTAGGTAAAGCGACTGAGATCCAGCACTACCGTGGCCTACAGCATAATTTAACTAACAACAATTGTATGCATAATATTTGGCCTAAGTTTAAGAACAGAGATCAGAAACCTAGCATTACTAGCAACTTTATACAATCCATCCCACATAATACGAATAACTATTTGGAGAAGCCTCTGAAAGGATTAACTCACAGAGGCGGCGCTATCAGGTTGATGCGGATGGGCAGCTCCTCGGTGCTGAGCTCCAGGCCCTTGGTGAGCGATGCCTTGACGGCGTCGATGCCCTCGTAGCCGTAGCAGGAGCACTCGATGTCTGCCCGGATCTTGACGGTGGGCGAGACCAGCTTGCGCTTAATGTTGCTCAGCAGCACCTCCTTGGTCTCCGCGTCCAGGTTGCACTCGTCAAAGACGGACGGATCGGTGACCGACTGCTTGAAGATGTCGTAGGCGACCGTCTTGCTGTTGTACTTCTTCTCAAAGTACCAGGCGGTCTTCTGGTAGAGCTCCTCCAGCTTTTCGTTGCCCTCGTAGCCGAGAATGTCGGCGACATGGCGCAGCAGCGAGTTGATGGCCTTGGCCTTGGCGAATCGCTCCGTGCACTTCTCCACATCCTCGGGCGAGACGCGACGCTTGGACAGATCTATGTAGCCCTTCTCCTTGTCCACACGGATGACCACCACCGGCTCGGTCTTGCCCACACGGATCAGCTTGTTGATGGAGCGGATACGACGGCGGGACAACTCGGAGAGCAGAATCATGCCCTCGATGTTGTTGTACTCCAGCAGATGGACGTAGGCGCCCATCTCGGCGATGGACAGCACGTTCACCATGACGACATCCTCGATCTCCGGATACCGCTCGTTGTAGAAGCGCGACGTAAGGGCCATCTTCGAATCCGTTGTCTTAGGCCGAAAAAAAGGGAAAATGCACTTTTCGAAAAGAAAAACGTGTACAATTTCTGCCGAGCGGGCGCAAGAAGAAGAAGCGTACAGTATTGCAATGGCGACATATCGATTGTTGGCGCCGGTAATTGATAGCCGCCGAGGCGGGGCACTGGCGATAACATTGATTGTTGGCGAATACGGTCACACACCAAAGGCGGGAATTGGGTTACCCGCCAAAAGTATTTAAAATTTAAAAAGTTCACTCTTTCCCCTCGAATCTTGATGTGTAATTTTCCTGGCACATATATTTCGATGGAATGTTACACGGTTTAAGAAACAGAAACCAGTTTTATTAAATTTGATTGAGAAGCATCGTTGCACTGTTGGGCACAAATAAATTTATACCACCAAAATTACTTTTCTGGTTGCTCTGCAGTGGGCACGTTGAGCTTGTGACACTTTATAAGTCTTCAAGACATTGGGCAATAATCACATTTAAAGGGATACAGTGGTTCTTTATTATACCCGTTACTCGTAGAGTAAAAGGGTATACTCGATTCGTCAGAAAGTATGTAACAGGCAGAAGGAAGCATTTCCGACACCATAAAGTATATATATTCTTGATCAGGATCACTAGCCGAGTCGATCTAGCCATGTCCGTCCGGATGATCGCTGAGATCTCGGAAACTATAGGAGCTAGGCTATTGAGATTTTGCATGCAGATTCCTGAGCTTCTTACGCAGCGCAAATTTGTTTAAGCAGCGTGCCACGCCCACTCTGGCGCCCACAAACCGCCCAAAACTGTGGCTCATACAGTTTTGATGATAGAATACAATTGTTAACTGAAATGTATTGTTCTCATGAATACCTATCGATTGACACAAAAAAAATGTTTGCCACGCCCACTTTAACGCGCACAAGCCGCATTTATTAGTTTAACGACGCTGAAGTATACAACTGAAGTATATATTTGGAAATTATTACAATTTATTGTAAACCCAATTCATTGTAAGCTGTCTACTTGGGAAAGGTAGATCCGCGCATCGTCGGCCTGTAGTCGAATAGATATTGAGGAATTAGAGATAAGAATTAAAATGGCTTATCACTACTTACGGTTTTGAACCAAACGGAGGGTCTGAAGATTAATCGTGATAGGAAGCCCATTTCCGATTTTGGAGCAATGGCATGCATGTGAAGGTGTTTCACCGTGATGAACGGTGGCAGATGGAACCCAAAGAGCGCATCCTGAACAGAGATTCCCTTGCCTGTTAGGAACTCCTTCAGGCCGCTCTCCATCCGTTCAACTTAAGGCAAATCGAAGAACATTGGTTAATTTTATTGGCCAATTGGAGCATAATCCAGCTGCTCTTACCCAAGGGATCGTGGGACTTGTCCAGAACCTTTAGGCTGGTGTAGTGTGTTTTGGTTACAGCCAAATAATGGTGCTGGGAAGCGGGTTTGATGTCCTTAAAGATGACAAATTCATCGGTTTCCATTTCCAAAACACTCGTAGGCTCTTGGCCGCTGGATATTTTGCAGAAAATGCAGTTGTCTTCCGCCATAGCTTTTACTTAACTATTAATATAATATAAAATATAGAAGTTTGTACTTTGACAGCTGATTAGGTGCACTACAAAGGGATGCCAATTCCGCTTTTTCCGTCAAGTCTAGCTTTTTTGTGGCCAATCGGCGTGAAAAATTTGAAAGTAGTTGGAGTGGCGTTTTTTTTTATGTTAAGGGTATTTCTTAAACTATTTAAATTCTGTAAATTTGAAATTCAAATTTTATTGTCAGAAATTTCACCAAAACCTGCAAACACTATCAACTTATTGCGGATAAAGATTTAAAAATTATCATTGATTCTCGGATGGTTTTTAAATATATTCAGTTTGTTATTGGAGTAAAATCAAGACTCAGATAGGTTTCAAGCTATTGTCTCAAGATAATTTAAAAACCAAGACCAGAAATAATAGACTGTACAAAAGTTTCATACCCTCTGCACACAGCCGCTTAAAATCGCTGTTGAAACCTTAAGCGGATTCCTGTGCACATAGAGAATAGCTAAAGCGAAGAGCTGATCGGCATAAGCAAACCGTATCCGAAGAGAGAGGACGTGCAAATTCAGTTGCTCCGAAACAAAGCAAAACAACGCAAAACTATCTACAATTTGAACGCTTAAATGTGGAATGTTTTCAGTGCTAAAGGAATATTTCATTGCTATTAGCAAATTGATCAAGGTTGAGATATCCATTCAGGAAAGCGTTGTAAAATAAATAAATACGATTGTGGAACAGCAGTGACACCACGAGAATTTTCACAAGTTAAAACGTTTGGACCCTTTTAAGTATTTATAACAACTTCCTCGCATACGGTTCTTATACTATTTATATTTTTAAGCAACAATTTTGGGAGATAAATTCGCCTTCAAAAGCTCCTGCACCAACAACCATTTTCTTATAACGACGGGACACAAAGCACAAAAATCACCTACGCTTAAAAAAAATACTGAATAAAACACTGGAATACTAAATCGATTTGCATGTGCGGTCCCATTTTTCCATTTCTTAGGGATGTGCTCCGATACATCGATTCATCCGTATCGAAATCGACATTCGACCTCAACCAAAATAATCGATAGCATTGGAGTTAGATTTTAGGTAGCAAACTTCGCAGTCTCTGCCGACTCTTCAACATGTCCGGATGCTCAGAGGAGCAGAAATATTTATATATATTTCTTATATTTAATATTTAATAGTCATTAGCAAGTTATTTTTTCATCCATTTTTCTTCAATCCTCGGGACACGAAAAATTGGTCTCGGTTTTCTGCTAATAAAGTACCAACATTAAAAGCGGCTATCGCTTGCTTTGAAAAATGTTAACAAAGATATTTAATTTTACTTACGGCTGACAGTGATTAAGGCCTCGAAAGACTTTTAGCATATCCGATTCTCCGAGAGCGTTGGGTTGCATCCATTAATAAGCTAGCAAGAGCATTTATTCACCATATATTAAAATCTTTTAATAATATATATAATATAATACAATATAATAATAATAATGACTTAAAGCTTAAAACTATAAGCTAATTGGTGAAGAGTGCAAGCTCTTTGGTTTGACAAAGATGTTTAATTTTACTTACGGCTGACAGTGATTGAGGCCTACGACCCCGTACCGCCGATCCTCAGGCATGACCCTTTTATACGGAGGACGTTCGGGGTCTCCTCCGCAGCAGTCTACACTACACCCCTTCGAGGGGCAGGCTTGCAGTGTGCAGCTACTGGCAGTTGGCCCATCGCCCACAGAAGAGTTTGACCACGAACTTAGATCTGATTCCGAGCTGCAATCCGCAGAATCCATGACTTTGATAAAGTTTAAAAATAAATTTTGGTAGCGAAAAAATGGTGTTGTAGTGAGTACTAGAATATATATAGAATAAAAATGGAACTGTGTAAAATGAACTCAAATTTAGTTGCAAATCACGACCTTACTAAACAGAGGATTTTCGATGAATGAGTGTTAAACGTTCATAGCCCAGGCAAATAGGCAAACGCTGAAGTCACAGCCTACTTTTAACATTAACATTTGAAAATCGAACTAAGACATGAGATCAAAATTCATTCGTTCTTGCCAGTGGCGGATCCAGAATTTAGTTGTGGGGTGGATAGAAAAAAAATTGTATCAGTAAAAAACAAACAGTTGGAATAAAATACATAATACACATACTTTTCAACCCTTTTGGGATCAAAAAATAAGCAAGGTCTGTATCTATGGATACAAAGAATAAAACTAACCCTTTAAAGTCAAATTACCAGATAAAATATTAATACTTTATCTTCTTTTTCGGTACCTCCTACAATAAATAAATATAGGTTTTACTGAAATGTTATTAGACTAGCTTTAATCAAAATCCCATTTGGCTTACCATTCCACTAACTCCTAAGAATGTCCATATACAAGTCTTTGTTCTTTGGCCAAGTAAAAATGTTCCAAATTATCTTGAGCAACGCATCTAGAACATTTGTTAAACCTTTCCCGTCCGTTGCGTCTATTCTGACTTTAGTTTTCCCTCCAAAACCATTTCGGTATTTATCATCATTTTTTTATTCTTGTTGACCGATATACGAGAGTTGACAAAGTTGGGGAGGGGAAATCGATCTTTTTAAAAGAAGTTATGCCTGGTTACATGTCGCATGAGTAATTTTTATAGAAACTTTAAAGACATTTCGCAAGGTCTAAAACTCAACCAAAAAAATGTTAATTTTTGGATACATTTTTTGCGAACCGCCCTAGTGTAAGCAGCCAAAATTTTCCACGACTCATTTCTTGTTTTCCATGATAATTGGATCCTCCTGGACAAAAGTCCCATACAAACTTGTGTTTCATCACCAACAGGACTCACAGTATAACCAAGGATACGAAAAACCGATGTCTGCCGACATTTTGAATTATGTGGCTTATATAATTGGACTTTTAAGATGTGTCCAATTATGTGGGTTTTTTGGTTACTGTATACAACTATTAGCAAAGCTAGTACTCAGACTGACAAACAGTGCCTTTTGGATGCCTAACCAAATAAAAAATATTCGTTATAAATTAGAAAAAATTATAAACTATTCAAATTATTCAAATATAAGGAATATACTTTTAAAATTTTTTGTAAAATGATGGCTGTGACTTCAGCGCTTTCCTATTTGTCTAGGCTGGGAATGTTTTAGACTCATTTATCAAAAGTCCTCTGTTCAGTAAGATCGTGCTCCCCACCTACATTTTAGTAGTTATCCTTAAGCACTTGCCGAAACAAAGCAAAACAACGCAAAACTAACTACAATTTGAACGCTTAAATGTGGAATGTTTTCAGTGCTAAAGGAATATTTCATTGCTATTAGCAAATTGATCAAGGTTGAGATATCCATTCAGGAAAGCGTTGTAAAATAAATAAATACGATTGTGGAACAGCAGTGACACCACGAGAATTTTCACAAGTTAAAACGTTTGGACCCTTTTAAGTATTTATAACAACTTCCTCGCATACGGTTCTTATACTATTTATATTTTTAAGCAACAATTTTGGGAGATAAATTCGCCTTCAAAAGCTCCTGCACCAACAACCATTTTCTTATAACGACGGGACACAAAGCACAAAAATCACCTACGCTCAAAAAAAATACTGAATAAAACACTGGAATACTAAATCGATTTGCATGTGCGGTCCCATTTTTCCATTTCTTAGGGATGTGCTCCGATACATCGATTCATCCGTATCGAAATCGACATTCGCCCTCAACCAAAATAATCGATAGCATTGGAGTTAGATTTTAGGTAGCAAACTTCGCAGTCTCTGCCGACTCTTCAACATGTCCGGATGCTCAGAGGAGCAGAAATATTTATATATATTTCTTATATTTAAGATTTAATAGTCATTAGCAAGTTATTTTTTCATCCATTTTTCTTCAATCCTCGGGACACGAAAAATTGGTCTCGGTTTTCTGCTAATAAAGTACCAACATTAAAAGCGGCTATCGCTTGCTTTGAAAAATGTTAACAAAGATATTTAATTTTACTTACGGCTGACAGTGATTAAGGCCTCGAAAGACTTTTAGCATATCCGATTCTCCGAGAGCGTTGGGTTGCATCCATTAATAAGCTAGCAAGAGCATTTTTTTACCATATATTAAAATCTTTTAATAATATATATAATATAATACAATATAATAATAATAATGACTTAAAGCTTAAAACTATAAGCTAATTGGTGAAGAGTGCAAGCTCTTTGGTTTGACAAAGATGTTTAATTTTACTTACGGCTGACAGTGATTGAGGCCTACGACCCCGTACCGCCGATCCTCAGGCATGACCCTTTTATACGGAGGACGTTCGGGGTCTCCTCCGCAGCAGTCTACACTACACCCCTTCGAGGGGCAGGCTTGCAGTGTGCAGCTACTGGCAGTTGGCCCATCGCCCACAGAAGAGTTTGACCACGAACTTAGATCTGATTCCGAGCTGCAATCCGCAGAAAAAAATAAGCAAGGTCTGTATCTATGGATACAAAGAATAAAACTAACCCTTTAAAGTCAAATTACCAGATAAAATATTAATACTTTATCTTCTTTTTCGGTACCTCCTACAATAAATAAATATAGGTTTTACTGAAATGTTATTAGACTAGCTTTAATCAAAATCCCATTTGGCTTACCATTCCCAACCTGTTCCACTAACTCCTAAGAATGTCCATATACAAGTCTTTGTTCTTTGGCCAAGTAAAAATGTTCCAAATTATCTTGAGCAACGCATCTAGAACATTTGTTAAACCTTTCCCGTCCGTTGCGTCTATTCTGACTTTAGTTTTCCCTCCAAAACCATTTCGGTATTTATCATCATTTTTTTATTCTTGTTGACCGATATACGAGAGTTGACAAAGTTGGGGAGGGGAAATCGATCTTTTTAAAAGAAGTTATGCCTGGTTACATGTCGCATGAGTAATTTTTATAGAAACTTTAAAGACATTTCGCAAGGTCTAAAACTCAACCAAAAAAATGTTAATTTTTGAATACATTTTTTGCGAACCGCCCCGCCCTAGTGTAAGCAGCCAAAATTTTCCACGACTCATTTCTTGTTTTCCATGATAATTGGATCCTCCTGGACAAAAGTCCCATACAAACTTGTGTTTCATCACCAACAGGACTCACAGTATAACCAAGGATACGAAAAACCGATGTCTGCCGACATTTTGAATTATGTGGCTTATATAATTGGACTTTTAAGATGTGTCCAATTATGTGGGTTTTTTGGTTACTGTATACAACTATTAGCAAAGCTAGTACTCAGACTGACAAACAGTGCCTTTTGGATGCCTAACCAAATAAAAAATATTCGTTATAAATTAGAAAAAATTATAAACTATTCAAATATAAGGAATATACTTTTAAAATTTTTTGTAAAATGATGGCTGTGACTTCAGCGCTTTCCTATTTGTCTAGGCTGGGAATGTTTTAGACTCATTTATCAAAAGTCCTCTGTTCAGTAAGATCGTGCTCCCCACCTACATTTTAGTAGTTATCCTTAAGCACTTGCCGAAACAAAGCAAAACAACGCAAAACTAACTACAATTTGAACGCTTAAATGTGGAATGTTTTCAGTGCTAAAGGAATATTTCATTGCTATTAGCAAATTGATCAAGGTTGAGATATCCATTCAGGAAAGCGTTGTAAAATAAATAAATACGATTGTGGAACAGCAGTGACACCACGAGAATTTTCACAAGTTAAAACGTTTGGACCCTTTTAAGTATTTATAACAACTTCCTCGCATACGGTTCTTATACTATTTATATTTTTAAGCAACAATTTTGGGAGATAAATTCGCCTTCAAAAGCTCCTGCACCAACAACCATTTTCTTATAACGACGGGACACAAAGCACAAAAATCACCTACGCTCAAAAAAAATACTGAATAAAACACTGGAATACTAAATCGATTTGCATGTGCGGTCCCATTTTTCCATTTCTTAGGGATGTGCTCCGATACATCGATTCATCCGTATCGAAATCGACATTCGCCCTCAACCAAAATAATCGATAGCATTGGAGTTAGATTTTAGGTAGCAAACTTCGCAGTCTCTGCCGACTCTTCAACATGTCCGGATGCTCAGAGGAGCAGAAATATTTATATATATTTCTTATATTTAATATTTAATAGTCATTAGCAAGTTATTTTTTCATCCATTTTTCTTCAATCCTCGGGACACGAAAAATTGGTCTCGGTTTTCTGCTAATAAAGTACCAACATTAAAAGCGGATATCGCTTGCTTTGAAAAATGTTAACAAAGATATTTAATTTTACTTACGGCTGACAGTGATTAAGGCCTCGAAAGACTTTTAGCATATCCGATTCTCCGAGAGCGTCACCATATATTAAAATCTTTTAATAATATATATAATATAATACAATATAATAATAATAATGACTTAAAGCTTAAAACTATAAGCTAATTGGTGAAGAGTGCAAGCTCTTTGGTTTGACAAAGATGTTTAATTTTACTTACGGCTGACAGTGATTGAGGCCTACGACCCCGTACCGTCGATCCTCAGGCATGACCCTTTTATACGGAGGACGTTCGGGGTCTCCTCCGCAAGTAAACTCGCAGCAACTGGGATTCTCCTCGTTGCTCACTAGCTCACTACGACTCCGTACCGCCGATCCTCAGGCATGACCCTTTTATACGGAGGACGTTCGGGGTCTCCTCCGCAAGTAAACTCGCAGCAACTGGGATTCTCCTCGTTGCTCACTAGCTCACTACGACTCCGTACCGCCGATCCTCAGGCATGACCCTTTTATACGGAGGACGTTCGCGGTCTCCTCCGCAGCAGTCTACACTACACCCATTCGAGGGGCAGGCTTGCAGTGTGCAGCTACTCGAAAGACTTTTAGCATATCCGATTCTCCGAGAGCGTTGGGTTGCATCCATTAATAAGCTAGCAAGAGCATTTATTCACCATATATTAAAATCTTTTAATAATATATATAATATAATACAATATAATAATAATAATGACTTAAAGCTTAAAACTATAAGCTAATTGGTGAAGAGTGCAAGCTCTTTGGTTTGACAAAGATGTTTAATTTTACTTACGGCTGACAGTGATTGAGGCCTACGACCCCGTACCGCCGATCCTCAGGCATGACCCTTTTATACGGAGGACGTTCGGGGTCTCCTCCGCAAGTAAACTCGCAGCAACTGGGATTCTCCTCGTTGCTCACTAGCTCACTACGACTCCGTACCGCCGATCCTCAGGCATGACCCTTTTATACGGAGGACGTTCGGGGTCTCCTCCGCAAGTAAACTCGCAGCAACTGGGATTCTCCTCGTTGCTCACTAGCTCACTACGACTCCGTACCGCCGATCCTCAGGCATGACCCTTTTATACGGAGGACGTTCGGGGTCTCCTCCGCAGCAGTCTACACTACACCCATTCGAGGGGCAGGCTTGCAGTGTGCAGCTACTGGCAGTTGGCCCATCGCCAACAGAAGAGTTTGACCACGAACTTAGATCTGATTCCGAGCTGCAATCCGCAGAATCCATGACTTTGATAAAGTTTAAAAATAAATTTTGGTAGCGAAAAAATGGTGTTGTAGTGAGTACTAGAATATATATAGAATAAAAATGGAACTGTGTAAAATGAACTCAAATTTAGTTGCAAATCACGACCTTACTAAACAGAGGATTTTCGATGAATGAGTGTTAAACGTTCATAGCCCAGGCAAATAGGCAAACGCTGAAGTCACAGCCTACTTTTAACATTAACATTTGAAAATCGAACTAAGACATGAGATCAAAATTCATTCGTTCTTGCCAGTGGCGGATCCAGAATTTAGTTGTGGGGTGGATAGAAAAAAAATTGTATCAGTAAAAAACAAACAGTTGGAATAAAATACATAATACACATACTTTTCAACCCTTTTGGGATCAAAAAATAAGCAAGGTCTGTATCTATGGATACAAAGAATAAAACTAGCCCTTTAAAGTCAAATTACCAGATAAAATATTAATACTTTATCTTCTTTTTCGGTACCTCCTACAATAAATAAATATAGGTTTTACTGAAATGTTATTAGACTAGCTTTAATCAAAATCCCATTTGGCTTACCATTCCCAACCTGTTCCACTAACTCCTAAGAATGTCCACATACAAGTCTTTGTTCTTTGGCCAAGTAAAAATGTTCCAAATTATCTTGAGCAACGCATCTAGAACATTTGTTAAACCTTTCCCGTCCGTTGCGTCTATTCTGACTTTAGTTTTCCCTCCAAAACCATTTCGGTATTTATCATCATTTTTTTATTCTTGTTGACCGATATACGAGAGTTGACAAAGTTGGGGAGGGGAAATCGATCTTTTTAAAAGAAGTTATGCCTGGTTACATGTCGCATGAGTAATTTTTATAGAAACTTTAAAGACATTTCGCAAGGTCTAAAACTCAACCAAAAAAATGTTAATTTTTGGATACATTTTTTGCGAACCGCCCCGCCCTAGTGTAAGCAGCCAAAATTTTCCACGACTCATTTCTTGTTTTCCATGATAATTGGATCCTCCTGGACAAAAGTCCCATACAAACTTGTGTTTCATCACCAACAGGACTCACAGTATAACCAAGGATACGAAAAACCGATGTCTGCCGACATTTTGAATTATGTGGCTTATATAATTGGACTTTTAAGATGTGTCCAATTATGTGGGTTTTTTGGTTACTGTATACAACTATTAGCAAAGCTAGTACTCAGACTGACAAACAGTGCCTTTTGGATGCCTAACCAAATAAAAAATATTCGTTATAAATTAGAAAAAATTATAAACTATTCAAATTATTCAAATATAAGGAATATACTTTTAAAATTTTTTGTAAAATGATGGCTGTGACTTCAGCGCTTTCCTATTTGTCTAGGCTGGGAATGTTTTAGACTCATTTATCAAAAGTCCTCTGTTCAGTAAGATCGTGCTCCCCACCTACATTTTAGTAGTTATCCTTAAGCACTTGCCGAAACAAAGCAAAACAACGCAAAACTAACTACAATTTGAACGCTTAAATGTGGAATGTTTTCAGTGCTAAAGGAATATTTCATTGCTATTAGCAAATTGATCAAGGTTGAGATATCCATTCAGGAAAGCGTTGTAAAATAAATAAATACGATTGTGGAACAGCAGTGACACCACGAGAATTTTCACAAGTTAAAACGTTTGGACCCTTTTAAGTATTTATAACAACTTCCTCGCATACGGTTCTTATACTATTTATATTTTTAAGCAACAATTTTGGGAGATAAATTCGCCTTCAAAAGCTCCTGCACCAACAACCATTTTCTTATAACGACGGGACACAAAGCACAAAAATCACCTACGCTCAAAAAAAATACTGAATAAAACACTGGAATACTAAATCGATTTGCATGTGCGGTCCCATTTTTCCATTTCTTAGGGATGTGCTCCGATACATCGATTCATCCGTATCGAAATCGACATTCGCCCTCAACCAAAATAATCGATAGCATTGGAGTTAGATTTTAGGTAGCAAACTTCGCAGTCTCTGCCGACTCTTCAACATGTCCGGATGCTCAGAGGAGCAGAAATATTTATATATATTTCTTATATTTAATATTTAATAGTCATTAGCAAGTTATTTTTTCATCCATTTTTCTTCAATCCTCGGGACACGAAAAATTGGTCTCGGTTTTCTGCTAATAAAGTACCAACATTAAAAGCGGCTATCGCTTGCTTTGAAAAATGTTAACAAAGATATTTAATTTTACTTACGGCTGACAGTGATTAAGGCCTCGAAAGACTTTTAGCATATCCGATTCTCCGAGAGCGTTGGGTTGCATCCATTAATAAGCTAGCAAGAGCATTTATTCACCATATATTAAAATCTTTTAATAATATATATAATATAATACAATATAATAATAATAATGACTTAAAGCTTAAAACTATAAGCTAATTGGTGAAGAGTGCAAGCTCTTTGGTTTGACAAAGATGTTTAATTTTACTTACGGCTGACAGTGATTGAGGCCTACGACCCCGTACCGCCGATCCTCAGGCATGACCCTTTTATACGGAGGACGTTCGGGGTCTCCTCCGCAAGTAAACTCGCAGCAACTGGGATTCTCCTCGTTGCTCACTAGCTCACTACGACTCCGTACCGCCGATCCTCAGGCATGACCCTTTTATACGGAGGACGTTCGGGGTCTCCTCCGCAAGTAAACTCGCAGCAACTGGGATTCTCCTCGTTGCTCACTAGCTCACTACGACTCCGTACCGCCGATCCTCAGGCATAACCCTTTTATACGGAGGACGTTCGGGGTCTCCTCCGCAAGTAAACTCGCAGCAACTGGGATCCCCTCGTTGCTCACTAGCTCACTACGACTCCGTACCGCCGATCCTCAGGCATGACCCTTTTATACGGAGGACGTTCGGGGTCTCCTCCGCAGCAGTCTACACTACACCCATTCGAGGGGCAGGCTTGCAGTGTGCAGCTACTCGAAAGACTTTTAGCATATCCGATTCTCCGAGAGCGTTGGGTTGCATCCATTAATAAGCTAGCAAGAGCATTTATTCACCATATATTAAAATCTTTTAATAATATATATAATATATTACAATATAATAATAATAATGACTTAAAGCTTAAAACTATAAGCTAATTGGTGAAGAGTGCAAGCTCTTTGGTTTGACAAAGATGTTTAATTTTACTTACGGCTGACAGTGATTGAGGCCTACGACCCCGTACCGCCGATCCTCAGGCATGACCCTTTTATACGGAGGACGTTCGGGGTCTCCTCCGCAAGTAAACTCGCAGCAACTGGGATTCTCCTCGTTGCTCACTAGCTCACTACGACTCCGTACCGCCGATCCTCAGGCATGACCCTTTTATACGGAGGACGTTCGGGGTCTCCTCCGCAAGTAAACTCGCAGCAACTGGGATTCTCCTCGTTGCTCACTAGCTCACTACGACTCCGTACCGCCGATCCTCAGGCATGACCCTTTTATACGGAGGACGTTCGGGGTCTCCTCCGCAGCAGTCTACACTACACCCATTCGAGGGGCAGGCTTGCAGTGTGCAGCTACTGGCAGTTGGCCCATCGCCAACAGAAGAGTTTGACCACGAACTTAGATCTGATTCCGAGCTGCAATCCGCAGAATCCATGACTTTGATAAAGTTTAAAAATAAATTTTGGTAGCGAAAAAATGGTGTTGTAGTGAGTACTAGAATATATATAGAATAAAAATGGAACTGTGTAAAATGAACTCAAATTTAGTTGCAAATCACGACCTTACTAAACAGAGGATTTTCGATGAATGAGTGTTAAACGTTCATAGCCCAGGCAAATAGGCAAACGCTGAAGTCACAGCCTACTTTTAACATTAACATTTGAAAATCGAACTAAGACATGAGATCAAAATTCATTCGTTCTTGCCAGTGGCGGATCCAGAATTTAGTTGTGGGGTGGATAGAAAAAAAATTGTATCAGTAAAAAACAAACAGTTGGAATAAAATACATAATACACATACTTTTCAACCCTTTTGAGATCAAACAAGGAAAAACGCTATAGTCGAGTACCTCGACTATCAGATACCCGTTACTCAGCTAAATGGAGATATGCAAGCAGCAAAGCGAGATTAAAATGCGCCACCTACCGGCGGTATACAGATTTAAGCGTTATGGGCGTTAGAGTGGGCGTGGCAAATTTTTTTTTTGGACCAATCGATAGGTATTGTCGAGACCAATACATTTCAGTTAAAATTTTTTATCTAGCATAACAATTTTGGGCGTCACAGGTTTTCGCGGTTTGTGGGAGTTAGAGTGGGCGTGGCAAATTTCTTTTTGGATCAATCGATAGGTATTGACGAGACCAATACATTTCAGTTAAAATTTTTTATCTAGCATGAAAATTGTGGGCGTCACAGTTTTTCGCGGTTTGTGGGCGTTAAAGTGGGCGTGGCAAACTTTTTTTTGGATCAATCGATAGGTATTGATGAGAACAATACATTTCAGCTAAAATTTTTATTCTAGTATCAAAACTGTAGGAGCCACAGTTTTGGGCGGTTTGTGGGCGTTAGAGTGGGCGTGGCACTGTGCTGAAACAAACTTGCGCTGCGTAAGAAGCTCAGGAATCTGCACGCCAAATCTCAATAGCCTAGCTCCCATAGTTTCCGAGATCTCAGCGTTCATCCGGACGGACAGACAGACGGACAGACGGACAGACGGACAGACGGACAGACGGACAGACGGACAGACGGACATGGCTAGATCGACTCGGCTAGTGATCCTGATCAAGAATATATATACTTTATGGGGTCGGAAACGCTTCCTTCTGCCTGTTACATACTTTCCGACGAATCTAGTATACCCTTTTACTCTACGAGTAACGGGTATAAAAATAAGCAAGGTCTGTATCTATGGATACAAAGAATAAAACTAACCCTTTAAAGTCAAATTACCAGATAAAATATTAATACTTTATCTTCTTTTTCGGTACCTCCTACAATAAATAAATATAGGTTTTACTGAAATGTTATTAGACTAGCTTTAATCAAAATCCCATTTGGCTTACCATTCCCAACCTGCTCCACTAACTCCTAAGAATGTCCACATACAAGTCTATGTTCTTTGGCCAAGTAAAAATGTTCCAAATTATCTTGAGCAACGCATCTAGAACATTTGTTAAACCTTTCCCGTCCGTTGCGTCTATTCTGACTTTAGTTTTCCCTCCAAAACCATTTCGGTATTTATCATCATTTTTTTATTCTTGTTGACCGATATACGAGAGTTGACAAAGTTGGGGAGGGGAAATCGATCTTTTTAAAAGAAGTTGTGCCTGGTTACATGTCGCATGAGTAATTTTTATAGAAACTTTAAAGACATTTCGCAAGGTCTAAAACTCAACCAAAAAAATGTTAATTTTTGGATACATTTTTTGCGAACCGCCCTAGTGTAAGCAGCCAAAATTTTCCACGACTCATTTCTTGTTTTCCATGATAATTGGATCCTCCTGGACAAAAGTCCCATACAAACTTGTGTTTCATCACCAACAGGACTCACAGTATAACCAAGGATACGAAAAACCGATGTCTGCCGACATTTTGAATTATGTGGCTTATATAATTGGACTTTTAAGATGTGTCCAATTATGTGGGTTTTTTGGTTACTGTATACAACTATTAGCAAAGCTAGTACTCAGACTGACAAACAGTGCCTTTTGGATGCCTAACCAAATAAAAAATATTCGTTATAAATTAGAAAAAATTATAAACTATTCAAATATAAGGAATATACTTTTAAAATTTTTTGTAAAATGATGGCTGTGACTTCAGCGCTTTCCTATTTGTCTAGGCTGGGAATGTTTTAGACTCATTTATCAAAAGTCCTCTGTTCAGTAAGATCGTGCTCCCCACCTACATTTTAGTAGTTATCCTTAAGCACTTGCCGAAACAAAGAAAAACAACGCAAAACTAACTACAATTTGAACGCTTAAATGTGGAATGTTTTCAGTGCTAAAGGAATATTTCATTGCTATTAGCAAATTGATCAAGGTTGAGATATCCATTCAGGAAAGCGTTGTAAAATAAACAACTTCCTCGCATACGGTTCTTATACTATTTATATTTTTAAGCAACAATTTTGGGAGATAAATTCGCCTTCAAAAGCTCCTGCACCAACAACCATTTTCTTATAACGACGGGACACAAAGCACAAAAATCACCTACGCTCAAAAAAAATACTGAATAAAACACTGGAATATTAAATCGATTTGCATGTGCGGTCCCATTTTTCCATTTCTTAGGGATGTGCTCCGATACATCGATTCATCCGTATCGAAATCGACATTCGCCCTCAACCAAAATAATCGATAGCATTGGAGTTAGATTTTAGGTAGCAAACTTCGCAGTCTCTGCCGACTCTTCAACATGTCCGGATGCTCAGAGGAGCAGAAATATTTATATATATTTCTTATATTTAATATTTAATAGTCATTAGCAAGTTATTTTTTCATCCATTTTTCTTCAATCCTCGGGACACGAAAAATTGGTCTCGGTTTTCTGCTAATAAAGTACCAACATTAAAAGCGGCTATCGCTTGCTTTGAAAAATGTTAACAAAGATATTTAATTTTACTTACGGCTGACAGTGATTAAGGCCTCGAAAGACTTTTAGCATATCCGATTCTCCGAGAGCGTTGGGTTGCATCCATTAATAAGCTAGCAAGAGCATTTATTCACCATATATTAAAATCTTTTAATAATATATATAATATAATACAATATAATAATAATAATGACTTAAAGCTTAAAACTATAAGCTAATTGGTGAAGAGTGCAAGCTCTTTGGTTTGACAAAGATGTTTAATTTTACTTACGGCTGACAGTGATTGAGGCCTACGACCCCGTACCGCCGATCCTCAGGCATGACCCTTTTATACGGAGGACGTTCGGGGTCTCCTCCGCAAGTAAACTCGCAGCAACTGGGATTCTCCTCGTTGCTCACTAGCTCACTACGACTCCGTACCGCCGATCCTCAGGCATGACCCTTTTATACGGAGGACGTTCGGGGTCTCCTCCGCAAGTAAACTCGCAGCAACTGGGATTCTCCTCGTTGCTCACTAGCTCACTACGACTCCGTACCGCCGATCCTCAGGCATAACCCTTTTATACGGAGGACGTTCGGGGTCTCCTCCGCAAGTAAACTCGCAGCAACTGGGATTCTCCTCGTTGCTCACTAGCTCACTACGACTCCGTACCGCCGATCCTCAGGCATGACCCTTTTATACGGAGGACGTTCGGGGTCTCCTCCGCAGCAGTCTACACTACACCCATTCGAGGGGCAGGCTTGCAGTGTGCAGCTACTCGAAAGACTTTTAGCATATCCGATTCTCCGAGAGCGTTGGGTTGCATCCATTAATAAGCTAGCAAGAGCATTTATTCACCATATATTAAAATCTTTTAATAATATATATAATATACAATATAATAATAATAATGACTTAAAGCTTAAAACTATAAGCTAATTGGTGAAGAGTGCAAGCTCTTTGGTTTGACAAAGATGTTTAATTTTACTTACGGCTGACAGTGATTGAGGCCTACGACCCCGTACCGCCGATCCTCAGGCATGACCCTTTTATACGGAGGACGTTCGGGGTCTCCTCCGCAGCAGTCTACACTACACCCCTTCGAGGGGCAGGCTTGCAGTGTGCAGCTACTGGCAGTTGGCCCATCGCCCACAGAAGAGTTTGACCACGAACTTAGATCTGATTCCGAGCTGCAATCCGCAGAAAAAAATAAGCAAGGTCTGTATCTATGGAT